CATGGCCAAAGGCAAGAAGGAAGAAAGAAGAGGCAAGTTAGGAACAGAGGATGGAAAATAAAATAGGACAAAGCAAATAATCTACAAGAAAGTAAAGAGGCAGGGAAATAGATGGATCTCTCTTTCTCCCCTCTCTCGTTTCCTCCCTCCCTCCCTCCCTCTCTCTTTTTCTTTCTCTTTCTCTTGTCTGCACTCCCAGGTAGATCAGAAAGGAAGCAGGACAAGACTTGACTATAAGGTTACCTTAACATAATCTTGGAAGTCTGAAAATACAAATTTCCCGCTCTCTCATTCTACAGTCTGAGAAATTTAGGATGAAACTTTTTTGTTTCTTTTTGTGCCTATTATGTTGCTGCATTTTCCCACCCCTTTTTATCTGATCATTGCCTAGGGCAGGGCTTTTCAACCAGCGGTATGGGTACCACTTGTGGTACATTGGCACTTGGCAAGTGGTACGCGACCATCCTAGAAAAGTGGTAGCGGGGGAGGGGAAGGAGCTGAACTGGTGGCAGCACTGCACAAGCCTGAGCAAGAGATGGCTGGAGCTGCAGGGCTGTCAGGGCTCAGCAGAAGCACCAGGATCAGTGCTGCTTTCCAGCTGATTGGTGCTTCTTCAGGCTGTCAGGGCTCAGTGGAAGTGCCAGGATCAGCGCCAGGCTCCAGCTGGAGCTCAGTGCTGATCCTGGTGCTTCTGCTGAGCCCTGAAGAAGCACCAATCAGCTGGAAAGCAGCACTGATCCTGGCGCTTCTGCTGAGCCCTGAAGAAGTGCCGATCAGCTGGAATGTTGCAGCATCTCCAGGGTCTTGTGATTTACATTCAGATTCTTGGCAACTGATTCATATTTATGATGGTCACAGTGTCCCAGGGTCATGTGAAGTGACCAAAACCTGCTGCAACCATCCAGCAGATGGGAGGAATAAAAACCAAACACCCCCCCACCCCACTTCCACTGCCAATCCTCAACAGAAATGCTCACAACAATGAAAACCTCAGACAGGAAGAAGAGCGTGGCCGGGTGGGTAGGCGTCTTGCTCGGCTGTGGCTTGGGGGGCACTTTTTTCAGTGCCACTGTAACTTCGAACAGTCACTAAGCAAACTGTTGTAAGTCGAGGACTACCTGTACTTTATCACTTTTTTCCTTTTTTGGGGGGTCATTAAGTTTTTGACACCTTGCTAGGCGACTGGTGGTACTCGGATGTTGCCATATCCTAAAAGTGGTACAATGGGTGAAAAGGTTGAAAAGGCCTGGCCTAGGGTGCGTCTCTTCCCACTCTCTCTCAAATCAATACCACAAACCATTACACATTGTCTGTGCACAGTTTTGGACGTGAGATTCTCCCTGGTCATACATGTGTGTGTGACCCTCTCTTCCTTATCTATACATTTAACATAAAGCAGAATTAAGGGATTCAAACTGCAAAAATCTGGGTGATTCTTAGGTGGCAGTAGAGACATAAAGAAAATTCACTTTATTTGTCTCCATTTTCTGGCTACCTGGACAGTTGCAGCCAAGACATTGGTAGCTCTAACAGAGATAGAAGCAAAGATGGTTAATAAAGGCTGCCTCACTATGGACCTTGTTTGTTAAAATGTTTATTAAATTTATACTACTCATATATAGATGATTTGGGGCAGCTTACAACATTAAAAATATGTAACATCACATCCCAGATTATAATATATTCTATACTTCATAGAATATCTCAGCCGGCATGTTGGCTGGGGAATTCAGAGGCTTAAATTCCATACATTTGACAAAGTTGCCAAGTTTGACAAAAGTGATCTAACACATATACCTAACCTGTAGCTAAAGATTGTGATTTGTACTCTTTCTAATCTAACAGAATGTTGGAAAGAAATTATATAACGGGGTCAGATTTTCATATCTTTGCCTATCAATAAATTAATTCACAAAAAACTGAGCAGAATGAGATAAATTTGGTATGCATGGAGAAGCTCAGAAAAGAAAGACCAGGCTTGAAAATGGTCTAATCCAGTATGAGTTGCAAAATATTTTTCCAAAATATTATTTGAAGCATCCTTATGAGAGAGCAGTGGAGCTACGGTGTGGAAGAATATTTACTTGCCAGGGTATACAGATGCAAAACCACAACATCTCAACATGAAGGATGCGCAGAAATAAATCCACACTTTTCTTCATTATACAGCAGAAAGTACAAACAACTTCTATAATAACTGCTGGTAAACAGATTGAAAGACTTCAAAATATCACACATTTCATGCATTTCCTACCTTGGTAATAAAGGAATTGGAAAAACTTGGGGCATCTGTCTCAAACCTGCAGGCATAGCTTGACTGAGAGCTGAATCACTAATGGAACTGGTGAAAATGTGTTGTATGACCTTAAAGAGAGAAAATTTATTCGCAGGAGGAAAATTGTCTGATGTTTTCATCTATTTTATCATCATCATCATCCAGATCATCACTACTTTTTAAAGATTAGCTGCATTCACACAACTAAACTATCATTATGAATTATGGCTTACTACAAATCACTCCTGCTTGGCTTCTCATTTCTACAGCAGACTGCAGAGGTTCTTTCTACAGATTGCTCATTATAATTTTTTAACCAGTCAATTTGGCTCCCTAATTAAAATTAAATTCGGAGGTTATTGTTTGTTTCTAGCAAAGAGGTGAATAAACTCTGAATTTCGCATTTCACTTTACATATACCACCAAACCTGCTTGGATGGTTGCTTCAGACCTTCCCACTGGCAGGTGAATCAAAGGAGAAACCAGAATCTGCAACAGCCCAAGTACTTAAGGCAGGGATAAGGTGGTAATATTGGTAGAATTTCTCTATGTTTAACCTGAAAACAAGTAGGTTTTAAACCAGTGTACAGGCACAGACATCTATCAAGCTGTCTGAGCCTCATTAAAGTTTCCTAAGGCAACATGGGCATGATGTATATAGGGCCATTCCAACTTTTACAGATTGGTATTACTGTAAAGAAGACAAATAAGAGCTGCAGCAAAATGTGGCAGCACAGGGTAACCAGCGTTAGTCAGCTAGTTGTCCTGTTTTCCTGTATATTCCATTCTTTTCTTCCCCCATCCAGTCACCTATTCCACCTGTCCTTATTGATCTCTCTTTTTTCTGGGAAGCATACCCTATTAGGGTTTCTTTTTTCTATCATTATTTTTTTGTATCCTCCCCCACCTCATCAGAAAGTGCTGTTTTTTTTTTAGTTAACTAGAAATCCGTACTCACAGGGCATATTCATTTCAGCATACAGATGGTAAGGAGCTTATAACCAACTTTAATATTATGAAAACACCCCGTTTATGTGAAGACTACGGAAAACCAAATGCATATTTGGTTTTCTGAGACCTATTATGTTATTCCTTTCCTTACAAAGGTGAAATGTTTCAAAATGTTTTCCTCTTGCGAGAAACTGATGTAGCATAAACAACATCTCTTCCCCCACCAATGTGCAGGATGGGGGGGGGGCACTGAAGGCCAAGGGATCTGCTAACAGGGTTGTGTGTTTATGAGATACAGACATTATAAAAGGTTGAACTCTGACAAAAATCAGAAAAGGAGAAGTGGCAAGAATATTTACCAGAGGGAAAAAAATCAGACCTTTTTCTTTTTTTCATCAGCATGCTATTGAGGAGATAAGGAGTTGGGTCATCCCATTTCTATCGCCTGCGATGGTCACACACTTCTTTGCCTTTTGATTCTCTTAAGGAAAAATGCAAGAAGCTGCTGACATTTCTGCTTAAAAGGAACGATCAATAGATATTTCCTGCTGTCTGCCTCTTTGAACTTATTGTCTTATGGGACAGAAAGAGAAAATGGGGAGTTGAAGTGTAAGGATGTTTGTAAAGAAGAGATTTGTGCAACGTAATACCTTAGACAAGATCACAGTTTCTTGGTCAACACACATGAGCTATGATGCTATTCAGTTGTTTACCCACTCTCAGGCCACTTTTGCTTATTTAGGATTCTTGCCCTGCTTCTAATAACTCACGCTCTTTCAAACCATCATCTCCATATTGACAGGCAAATGTCACCCATCATTGAATAGACATCCAATTGAGCCAGAATGTAAAAGTATAATTTAGAATTAATGGTTTGTGTGTTTTAAGGTGGCCCCCTTCTGCCTTGCGTCTGGAAGGAGCTCTATTTGCTGCTCTCTGCTCCTGAGATGGGCAGAAGTGATGTGATATACTTTCACCATGCCAGGAGAGCACACTCAGCTCCATTACCAAAAATACAGGAAGGTCTAGAAAGCTGTTTAAATAGAGGAATCCAGAAAGCGACACCTATCAGGGCTTCAAAAAAATTATTGAATCTGGGGTGGGGGGTGGGTTACTTCAAGAAACAGCAGTTGCTGTGCGTGAGTGGACGCTGGGTTGTCAGGTGAATTGTAATACACTACCCTTGTATTCAAAGTGATATTTCACATGATAGACAGAGGCCACTGGGGTAACCATTAACCTTTACATTCAGGATCGAAGATGGAAAGAAGATCCTAAGTAAACCTCTCCACCTTCCATGAACTACTGCAGCAAGAAAACGGCCATATCACTTTGGAGTGGGCAAGAAGGAAGCTCCCAATTTCACTGCTCAGTGAGAAGGGATAAACAGGGAGGGGAGGCAGAGAAAGAAGAGAGAGGAGGAAAACATTTCCCCACACTTGTCAGAGAGATGCCAAACTCTCGGAGAGTGGGCTGAGCGCAGCAGATGCTGGGATGAGGTGCCAAAGCAGCTCCTCTTTCCTCTGCGCCTTTGGGTGCTTATAAATTACCCCCGCACCTTCAGCAGCCTCCTCTTGTCGCGGTAGCCGGCTGTGTGCGCTCATCGTGGTGCTTCGTTCCAGCGCGCGAGGCTTCCGGACTGGGGACCCTCCGGCAGCATTGGCGACCGAGCGAGCCAGGGCTGAAAAGGAACCTCCGTCTCCTTCCTTCTCGCCGGCACGAGTGGCGAGCAGGAATCTCCCAGGCTCCCACGCGCTCTCCCCCGCTGCCCTCGGAGATTTGGTGTCGCTGCAGAAGAGTAAGAATGAATGAAGGAAGGAAAGAAAAAAAATAAAAGAAATAAAAGGAGGGAGGGAAGAAAAAGGGGGGGCGCGACCCGCGAGAAGACCTCAAAAGAGGCGACCGGGAGGAGCAGAAGGGAAGTTGATTCGAGCTGGCATAGACGGGGGAAAAAAAAAAAGTCGATCGCCAGCCACAGCATAAAAGTGTGAGCGACTCTTCTCAGCCTAACAGCAGCGGCAGCCACAGGTGCCCCAGACGGGAACCCGAGCCATCCACAGAAGAGCAGCGCGGAGCAAGGCTCCCGGAGCTTCGGGATCTGGCGAAGGAGATTTGCCCCCGTGCCCCTCCCGGTCGACGGGAGGAAGAGGGCGACAAGGCCCCACGGACGCGGGGAGGCTACCCCGCGGTGATTTCGGCTGGAAGAGGTTCCCGACCCACCATCAAGATTTTGTCCAAAAGCAGGCAAGAGGATCGCCCTGCGCTGAGCCGCCTGGTGGGCAGCAGGCGCCGGCTGATCGCGGCCGGTGCGCTAGGGGTGGTCATGGTGCTACTGCTGGTCATCCTCATCCCGGTGTTGGTGAGTTCGGCGGGCACATCGGCGCACTACGAAATGCTGGGCACCTGCCGCATGGTCTGCGACCCTTACGGAGGAACCAAGGCGCCCAGCACGGCGGCCACGCCCGATCGCGGCCTCATGCAATCGCTACCCACCTTCATCCAAGGCCCCAAGGGCGAGGCCGGACGGCCGGGTAAAGCCGGGCCTCGGGGCCCCCCAGGAGAACCAGGTCCGCCAGGGCCGGTGGGCCCTCCGGGAGATAAAGGCGAGCCCGGGCGCCAAGGTCTACCTGGCCCCCCGGGAACGCCTGGCCTGAACGCGGCCGGGGCGATCAGCGCTGCCACTTACAGTACGGTGCCCAAGATCGCCTTCTACGCGGGGCTGAAGCGCCAGCACGAGGGTTACGAGGTCTTGAAGTTCGACGACGTCGTCACCAACCTGGGAAACCATTACGATCCGACGACCGGCAAGTTCACCTGCTCCATCCCGGGCATCTACTTCTTCACCTACCACGTGCTCATGCGGGGCGGCGACGGCACCAGCATGTGGGCCGACCTCTGCAAGAATAACCAGGTGGGACCGGGGAAAGCTCCAGGGCGCAGAAATGAGCCCCGGAGGAGCGGGGAGTGAGCGAGTCTTATTTTTCTCGGCCAAAGGCTCTTTCTGGAGAGGCAAAAATCCAACTACTGTCGCGTGCCCGCGCGGAGTATAGCTGCGTTGGTTGGACTTCTGCAGGTTGCATTTCCGCCTAGCCAAGAGCCGCCTCTGGCCGAGTTTGACAAGAGAAAGCAGACAGAAAAAATTAAGGGAGGAAAAACTCTCAATGGACCTGTAAGTGTTAGAAGATCCTCCAGGAAAATAAAAATAGCTTAGAAAGTTGATGATCTAGTAAGAGCAAAAAAAAAAAAAAGTTCCTCTCTGCAGGCACAGGAAGGCTGCAGCCTTTGGGGTTTTTTGTATCCTTAGAGAGAAAATCCTGGGCCCTGGGGAAACTGAAGGAGAGGAGTGCCTGTGGCACTGTGGGCATCCTAAAGGCAGTATCTTGGTAGGAATTTAGAGTGGCAAGGAGAGACTTGGACATGGTGCACCCTAGACCCAAGCCTGGTGTACTTACCAAGTAAGACTATTAGGACAGGCCTAGGCAGCAGCTCAGTGTTTCGGTGAAAATGTTAATAAACAGTAATTCAGTTGTGGCCCTTCACCTGCCTACCTTGATTCTGTCTGCTTCTGCTTTTGATTGCTGGGTTCATAACAGCAGAATCTTACCAAGAAGGCAGTCTTTGAAGGCAGTGAATGTTTGACGTTTCTTGATTTTTGATTGCTGGCTATCTTGGGGGCAGGGATACATTCTTTTGGAACTTACACACACACACACACACACACACACACAATTTTTTTAACATGAAAAATGATTACTTTGACAAGCCATTATTTGGGTAGCCGGTGTTAAGATTTGTGAGAACACTGAGCAGCTAGTGGTCGTGTACACGGGTATAGGTGTATACTGGGTACACTGGAGTAGCTCAAGGACTTTAATCAGGCTTCACTGGATGTGTGTGAATAGCGAAGGAAAGTTTGATGCCTACTTTCCACGACTTGAGCTTCCCCCAATCTAATACGTTCCAGCTGTCTTCGAGATCTCCAAGAGTGAAAATGGTAGGCAACTGTATCACACACTATGCCCCGTTTCCAAAGCAGGGTGCCCATTGCCCATGCCAGGCATTATGGGGATGTAGCATCCGAAGGGCAATGATTGAGGGACTCCACTTCGTTCTTCCGTGAATCACCTGGCATTATGCCCATAGCAGGTGGGTCAAGAAATAGTTCCTCACTCTTTTCAGCACCCGCCTTATTCTGACACTGACTCTTGGACTCCTGGTGTGGAGGTAGATGTAACAATCTTGGGATCAATGGTTTAAACTTTGCGCAGTTTAAATTGTTTTCTGAGATGGGCAGGCAGGAAGGGAAAATCTCAAGAGAGTTATTGCGAGGTTGGAGGGTTAGAGGAAAAGTATTTAGTTATAAGGCGAACGTGGCGCTGGGCCCTGCCTGAGAGCATTTGCTGGCGCGTGAAAGAAAGAGGCAATCTGGAGCGAGCCAGTGGAAAAGGAATCATTCTTCCAATACCCCCGGGTATGTGGGTTGAGCGGGCCAGTGGGCAATCCACCTTCTCGTAGGAAGGAGGCAAGAAATAAAAGACGAAACCTTAATAGTCTAGGTGCGGGGCTGCAACTTCAGAAGCCGCATCCAGGAAAAAGCGTTTTATATGACTCCTGCATGACAGCGGGGAAGTTGCTACAATACTAGAGACCGCTGTGGAGGGAAAAGGAAACCAGGAGCGCCTGATTAAACTGGGCCTTTTAGGGAGCGTCCTTCTCTTCCTTAAGAGGTTTGCATCCCAGGCCGGTTTCCCTGTCCGAGGAGCCGTCTCTTCCCCAAGTCTGCACGAGGCGCGGGCGAAGCTTGGCTAGAAGCACCGGCTCATCAGAGGAGGCTTAGGAGGAGACACGGTGGCAAGGCGGCCCAGCTAGCGACAGGTAAAAGGCCACGTTTGGCGGGTTGAGCGGCTTTCAACCGCGCTTTACTAGAGCGCGGGGTTTTCCCAAGGGCCTCCTGGCACGGCGGCCCAGACTGGAAACAAAGAATCCTTTATTATTCCAAATGCTCCCGGGGGCCTTTATCATTTACCGTGGGAGGGAAGGGGGGGGGGGAAGACTTTTTTGAGATGATTGTCGAATGGGGCGGCAGCCGCGCAAACCTCTTTCCTTCGAAGTCCAATTTTTGAGAGGACTCTCCCTCTTCAGTGCACCCAGGATTCACTCCACGCACACCTCAGCGTTTTCGAAGGGGTCCCCCGCAAATCTATGGGCTCTTTCTTAGGATAGCAGACACGAAGAAAATGGGCGAGGAAGCGACCAGTGTGTGTATGGGGGGGGGGGGAAATGTTTTTCCTGCGTCACCGCTTCCGTGCATTTTTGGGAGAGTTTTAGATTAAAGGATACCAAGCGCGAAAGAAATGGAAAAGAGAAAAATAAAATAAAATGAAATTCTGGAGAAGCTTGGAAAGGATCCCATAGTGCAATATCTGTATATGCTTATTCAGCCATAGTTCCCATTGGGATTGCAAATAAGTGCACTGAGAATTGGCATCTGTGAATTCTAACTTACTAACTATACAAGACTTGGAACAGACTCAGTGAAATCAGTGCTAAAATATAATTAAACGTAGGCCCAATTATTTTAAATTGACAATCTTCACTTGATTTAGTGAGTCTTTTTTGGCCTTAAAGTTTTGTCAGATATTAGGTTTTGTTGCCATGTTCTTGATTCTAAAGAGAAGGTATAATTATTTGCTTTTCCCAAGTTTTTCGCAAAAAGTCAAAGCAGAAATCCTCCCCTACTGATACTAAAGATCATTAAAATTTATAAAATGGAACAACCTAGCAATCATAAATTTTAATTCTACAATAGTATTAGTTCTATATATCTTACTTGCGTGGACAATAATGAATGGATGTTAACTATGGATGTCGTCTGTATGCTAATTGTTTGTATTCATTAATGTCTGTGTAAGCATGATTGATAATTATATGGCTAAGAAAAAAATAGATGACCTCCAAGGTCCCTGCCAACTTTATTATTATTAGTAGTACTCATGCCTAGATAGATTTGTTCCCACAACATTCAGTGGTTTATGGATGAAAATGAACCTTGCAAAGGGAATGTCCAAATAATTCAGTGAAAATCAAAGTAACATTATAATTTGATGACATAATGCCAACTTGTAAGACTTATCTTACTTCTACTGAATGCATTGATTTCACAATCCTTACTAGGAAATACTACCAAGATTTACATTTATTATAGGTTTACATTTACAGGTAAGCATTGTGTGTGCAAACTATGTGTCGACTGTTGTACTGAAAATATAAATGGCTATTTTCTCTCTCATTAGATTAAGAGAAACCAGAAATAATTCATATTTGCTTTTTGGTTTATGCATTTATGCTAAAATTATAGCTAGAACCGTGCATGGTTTTCCTGCACTTGACCAATATCTTGTAAAAACTCAAATATGGGAATTGGAAGGTATTCTCTTCCTGAAAAAAAGAATAATGAAATCTGAAATTACTGAAGGTTTTTTTTTTTTTGCAGAATACCAATGTGCTGCAACCAGAGGAACATTTTTTAATCACCTCAACTTTGGATTGACTGCAGTATTACAGATGGGGTCATCAGAGGATGATAAATTAATCATACATGGCTTTTAACCTTGTGTTTATAGCTTCTGACTAGTATATGAAAAATAAAAATATGGAAGTATAAGAAATAATCAAATAAACAAAGGTGTCACTCATAAATACTATATATTGATGAACATTAATTATAACATTTCTCACATTTACATCAGTTTACAAGGAAAACTTTTTTCTCTTTAAAATTTGACTGAATAAAAATAGAACAAAATCCAGTGCATGGCATGTATGAAAACAATTGTTCATATTAGCTTGAAGGTAGACTAAGTCCATAGCACCAGACATTTATAAATTAATTCAGTCACCAAAAAAACAGGCAAATATTGATCAAGCTAGTACTGAATTCAGTTCATATTTATGCAGGCATAAGCAATCCTTAAGCCAATTTTTTTTATATTGGTGACTAGCTGTAATCCATTGATATTCTAAGGGCAGTAATTTGATCTTATAGCATTGATAGCTAATGAACTGTGAGAATTGAATTTTCTATACAAATTATTGGATGGGTGGACAAATTATCTTTTAAAAATGGGGCAAAGTGTTATAGATTGCATAGCAATAAGAAAAATATCAGTGCTGAAATACATGGAGAAAAATATTTAAGAGAAACATATTGAATATTTAAAGGATTCCCATATAGCATATTGCTTTCTTTAATACTTAACATAAATATAGAACTGCTGAGACTACAACATAATTAGTTTGTTTGCAGTTTGACTGTCCCTGTATACCTTTATAGGCCAATGAGGTAAGCAGTCATGAAACTTAGGTAATGTACACAACATTGTTTTAATTTGGAGATGCCTTTAACATACAGCAATACAGCCTGGAATATTCTTCTGAGGCTGTCCTTATAGGTTTTAAAAACAGATTATGATATCTACCCACAGCAACAAAACACACAGAGAAAGAGCTATAAAGTTAATACACTTAGTATGGGATTCAGGTTAATGCAGATGCAAAGCCCAGTAGCTAAAATACAAAGCTATTGCATTGATCAAACTGTTTTTTGAGTTCTCTTATAGTTTATATTCTGTGGTAGTTTACAGTAAGTAATACTATGCATTTCTAAGGCATCTGTCCATTTTTTCATAATGTATAAAGCAAATAGTATTTAATGCTAAAGATAGAATTTATATCATTTGATAGAAGCAATATTAGCTGTAATACCAAGCAATTTCAACAATATTTAAATAAAGCACATGGAATTGGAATATAATTTTAATACTTAAACCTAATGAAGTGCAAGCACTAACTGTTTCACCTTATGTTGCAATAATTATTCACATACACCAAAAGGTATCAACTTTCTCTTTGTTACTTAGAATTATTATCTCAGAAAGAGCTTAGTTCCCAAGAATGTATATTTCAGACATTGATCTAAGTTCTCAGCCATTCCCAGCTTCTTCATTTTTAGGAAATATCCCATTTGATATTTATTGATTAAAGAGTGGTCAAGACAGATCACTTTAATAAATAGTAAATTATTTCTGAAGTAATGAATCAAAAATAGGAGTGCTTGGGATATTACTCTACATTTTGGCAGCTTAAACTAGAACGTGTTTGAGGTAATTACAAATCTCATAAGCCTTGAAGCTTTCTATACAATGCAGAAGAGGATTTTTCTGCTTCTGTGATTTCTAAGCTTTCTAATCCGCTGTGTGATCTTGCATGGTGGAAGGTCTTATCCATTGTTAACATTTCTGTACTAGCACGGGGCTACATATAAACATTTAATTTGAAAACCTATCATTCATACTTTTGAAAGGCATGCATAGACATTTTTTGACTTATTCTACTTCTCCTAATTCCAAAAATATCCAGAAGACTGTACGCCAAGTCTTGAACTATTTTTTAATTCAGACATCCAAAATCATTAAATCATAGATCTATTAAAGAATAGGATAAAACTATAAGTGCACTGCAAAAATATATATCAAAGGTTAAATATTTATTTGTGGATCTAAAGGACATATAAATGAACTGATGCAATTTTTGTTTGAGGAGTGCAAGCAGTTTCAAATAGCCTATTTGTTAAATATAATTAAACCAATAGGACATATTTTAAAACAAATCTTGAGCTTGAAGCTTAAATAATTGTATATGATTAGAATCTCAAGCCTGCAATATTTATTTCAATATTTATTTCATGAAAATATTATTAAAAATAGTGATAGTTGTGATTTCAATACATTACTTTTTCATATGATCCATATTTCAATTTGATCTTTTTTATTGAAAAACATTAAAAGTTTATTGACCCAGATCTAAAAGCATCAGTGAATTAAATGCTGATTACTTTCACACTTCTATAATCTTGCATCCTTTGTTTTATCAACAAGGCCTGATTCTGATACAGAACTGATAAGAATCATATACAATATCATACTGATATACCTCTAGTTTCATCTGGTGAAAAATCAGTTTAGACTCATCAATAGGATTATATTATTGTAATTTAGTGAAATAAAGTTGTTTTTTGGATTATAATTTTCCATATGATATCAGAAGCTATCTTCGAAAATTTCCCATTATTATAAAAGCCATATATTACAAATAATGTTGTAGTTCCATGAAAAATCCAATGAAACTTGTAAAAGTATTAAGTTTGCAAGCTCAAATATATTTAAAGAATGTCAGATTGGGAAAGGAGGTTAAAGTTGGCAGTTCACTGAAGTAGCTGGTTAGAGATTTGGAGTAATTATTTTGAATCCAGCTCATTGTTACAACTCATGTTTCTCAGCAAGTCATATGAAACTAAACAGAATAACCTCCATACAGGCTAGCATAAACTTTGAAGAAAATAGTGTATAAATGTGAAACCTAAGCAAGTGACATGTTAAGTTAGTAGTCTGAAAAGATTTCAGTAGTGTTAATTACTTTTGCCTAAGGATGGATTCTGCAATATTCAGACAACAAGCTATTTGTTGATAGTTGTACTAGGTGTTACTAAGCTAAAACTGGCTCTTTTGTGAAATGTTGTTTGCAGTGATAAAGGAAAAAAATATCAAAAATATAAGTTGGAACTTGTAAGTGAACATACAGTTTCATAACTGAGTGTTGACAAGTACTAAAATTGTGAACAGTCTTTTTTCTGTATTTTATTTAGGTGCGAGCTAGTGCCATTGCACAAGACGCAGATCAAAACTATGATTACGCCAGCAACAGCGTGGTCCTACATTTGGAACCAGGAGATGAAGTCTATATAAAATTAGATGGTGGAAAAGCACATGGAGGAAACAACAACAAATACAGCACATTTTCTGGATTTATAATTTATGCTGACTGATATTAAACACAAACTAAATGACCTTCTAATGATGGATTCTCTTGGCCAAAATAAAAGGATCAAGAAATCCCAGAGGATACTGATCGTAGACTCTTCAGGAGTGAAGCCAAATGCTACCTAACCCATATCTGTACAACCCAGAGAAAGATGTTTAAAAAAATAGAGCAAGTGTAAGAGGTGTGTGATCTATCACCAAAGCAAAATAGTCGTTGTTAATGTTCATGTGAATAAAGTCCTACATAAATCACAATTTTTATAAGAGAAAGAAAAAAGAGGCACTGAATTACTTCTTCAGCATACAGTATGTAATATCTTTGATGTGCTATGATTTCATGCTGCTTTTTTTCATCCATCAGCTTTGGTGCTTCTCACTTATCTGCTAACTATGAGCCAGTTCTGAGTATATGGTGAAGAATGTTTTTTTTTTTCAATAAAAGGAAGATGTAAGAGAAATTCTGCTGTTCCTTCTAAGGGATATATTTGCCTAATCTTTCCATTCCTTGGCTATCTAGAAATAGGAAACGGCTCTTTCAAAGCTTAGCTCTATTGTTATTGTACTTAGATGAAAATACAACTACAGCACAATTGTCTCATTTTCTGTTATTGATTCAATATTATGCAATTGTTAATATTATATAATATCTTTCAGGCATACCCCCCCCTCTAGAACCAGGAGATTGTCCCATTTAGTTTAATAGAGTAAGAACAGTCCACAGATATGAATATAAAGTCAATGGGCAGATTTCTGTATGCAAAGCAAGAGACAGAAAATAATAAAACAATTGCATTCCATGAAAACAAAATATGAAATTAAAAAAACAACCCTGTTGCGGTATTATTTCTAATATTTATTAAGAATATAATTTGATTACTTTTTTTAAGACACGAAAAGAGAATTCATGATGTAGATATTAGGAGCAGAAGTCTGGTACAAGTTAAATGCTGAATCATGTTGGCAGAGTCACATTTACAAGAATTCAGGGGAAAAAGAATTCAGTTTTTCTAGCTGTATGTTGTTGTCAATTACTAAAGAATTTAGCTTTCTTCAACACTTTTAAGTTTGTTCTTTTCTATAAATTTCATCCTGCGTGTCATTTGTTGCATTCAATTTACAATTACAGCTGTATGCAAACTATCCCAATGGTGGAGCAGTGACATAATATTGATAGTTATGGATAGAGCTGATTAGATCAGCTTTTTAAAATCTAATTTGCACAGGCTAATTCTGCACATTTAACACTTCAGGAAGTATCGGGGGGGGGGGGGGCAGCTTGCAGCACAATCCTATGCAGATCTGCTCAGAAGTAAAACCACTTTAATGGGAGTCCATATGTAAATGGTGGTGTTTTGTTGTTCTGTTGTATCAAAATGCCACACAAAGTCCATGATGCTATCAAGTATCTTTGGGACTGTGACCTGAACATTTGTCAAGTATTATAATAGTTTATAATACAATATAATAATCTTGCTCCCAATCTGGGTTAATACTATATAATTGTTATACAGCATTTTCATAAAATGTCATATAAAAACAAATAATCTCCAGCAAATAATCCAGTGTTTCTAATTATTATCTTTTGTTTAACTTAAATGTTAAGATTTTTTATATTAAAAGCTTATTGTCTATAATTAGGCTGTGAACTCAGTTGTGAGACTTCTAGACTTCATTTGTTAACTGACTTAACAACAAATTAATCCCAGTGATTCTAATAGGACTTACTTCTGAGTATTTATGTACAGGAATGCATATTTTAGGTGCTAAACTTGTAAATGTGATGTTTCATTATCAATCCAATGCAAAGAGGTATTCAAAGATTATGAAATGGGATTATATAAAATATGTATAAAGAGATTTTAAAATATGGTACACTTAAGCCTATGTTTGTGGAATCAAGAGGCTCAATGAATTATTTCAGTTATACTTCCATAAACAATTTCCATATATTTAATGATTTTATATAGAATATTCTTTGAAAAAGTTAAAATGTATTCTCTTGAGATTGAGTCTCCTCTATCATGCAATTTTCTTAGCAACAGCATGACAATCATGCCTTCTTCCCAGATACTTGAAAAGAAGGACTATGATGACATGATAGCAATATGCCAATATTTGAAGTACTGCCACAAGCATGAGGGGGTCAATCCATTCTCCAAAGCACCTGAAGGCAGGACAAGAAGCAATTGATGAAAACTAATCAAGCAGAGTAGCAACCTAGAACTATGGAGAAATTTCCTGATAGTTAGAACAATTAATCACTGGAAGGAGTTGCCTTCAGAAACCATGGATGCTCCAACACTGGAGATTTTTAAGAAGAGCTTGACAAACAAACATTTGTCTGAAATAGTACAGGGTTTCTTGCTTGAGCAGGTCATTGGAGAGGAAGACATCCAAGGTCCCTTCCAACTCTGCTATTCTGTTTTCAGCAGCCACAGAATTCTTTGGTAATCTTCTACTGAAGTGCTAAATAACTTCTTAGTTTCAAAATTCAGACAAAGTCTGGGAAGGTGCTGCTGTGACTAAATAAATAGGCACTATAAATCTTTTTATGAAGATACTTTAAATCAATCTTGGTTCCTGGTAACTTCACAGACAAGTTATTGCTATTTTCTTGGCAGCCATGTTTTGGAAGTGGTTTTTCATTTCCTTCTTCCTAGATCTGAGAGAGCGACTGGCCCGAGGTCAGCCAATTGGCTTTGTACCTAAGACAACACTAGAACTCATGGTCTCCTGTTTTCTAGTCTGGTACCTTTATTGGCTATACCCAAACTGGCTCTCCTGTACCTTAAAAGTAAACTCCTGATATGCTTGTTATATCTATTTTAAATGCACTTACAAGAAAATAATTTTTGCCAAAATCAATTTAAAAATATATCCTATTAATATATGTAGACTTCAGCACACCAAGAGCAACCCCAATGAAATGGAATTTATTTATTTACAATCCAGTAGGTTCCATATATATATATATTCAGAAGTTAGTTTGAATTCACTCTTCTTTTTCTTCATAACCATACATTTAAAGTGTAATCCTATTCATTTATTTGTTTGTACAACCCTAGCTTCTTTTAACTTCAACTTAAATATTAAATTTTGATTCCCAAACCAATCTCCCTTCCTTCTTCCTCCCTCCCTTGCTCCCTTCCTACCTCCCTTCCCTGGTGATTACTTCCCAAATTCCTGCAGTTTTCATGGCAAAAATCTACCTTAAAAGGACCAAATGAATTCTGTCATTATCCACTCTGTGATGCATTAGAAATTATTTCATAGCGTATCAACAGATCTTAAAATATTCCTTTGATGATCCTATTGAAATTTTCTTGATCATGCCACCAATTTGTAAGGTGATACAAACATTATTTACTTTTCAGTTTAAGCCTACTAGAACTGTTTTTTTTTTTTAAAAAAAATAATTCTGACAATCAGCTATGAATCTCATAACTCCATTTGTTGGAGAAGATATGCAATTTAAGCTTACTGACAGAAAAATAGGGAGATTTTCTCTAAATTGTTAAAATGCATATTTCAAGAAACAGAAGAGTCATGTTTCAGAGAAGTAGATGGATCTATGCAAAGGGACTGCTTCATCTGCATCTTGAAATGCAATGCAGAGTGTTGTATTTTGGAAATGGAAAGACCCAATTCACATGTGAAGTTTTTTATATATATATGTGCTTTGCTCAAATGATTGTATAAATAGACATGTACGAGACGAAGCAAGGAAAGATTAATTGCTGGATACACTTAAAGTACACTGCATTTCATATTAGGATGTCCATTTTTAAAAAACAAAACAAACTAGTAGTTCTATCAAGGGCTTAAACATAAAACAATGGCATTTACATTCAGTTGTGAGCCAGACCATGATTGAAGTCTCTCATTCTGATTAATTCAAATGGATGTTTTCCACCCAATTAATTCCATAGAAGGCCATTTAAAAATAATTTTGATTCATTCATATGATATGTTCCATCTTCATATTATAGAAGTTTCATTAAACATATTTTTTCCAAAAATACATCTATTTTTGTTATTATTTTAAGTTGCAATCATACAATCAAAAAATTGGAGTTCTGACATTGCAAATCATATTTTCTTATTCTGTGCTCCAAAGGTATAATTTTATTTTCCTCAACCAATTTCAATTCTATTTTTTTCACTTTCACCAAAGCAAACAGGATCACATTTTTATTTAAAAGTCAGCCACTGTTTGGGATTTTCTAGCAATAGCTTATCAATTTTATTTTGAGATATTCCTCTCGTGAGCATTTTTGGGACAATATTTTCAAGAATATGAGAATAGCCGTGGCCACCATATTTCTTTAGTCTATGTTTTGTATGAATATCGTGAGCAATCACAATTTTGTCATCATAACCTTCTTCAATCAACATTCGAACTCTGCAAAAAAGAAATATTTCTGAATAAATGTTCAAATTAATTTGTGATATAAAGAAATAATCTCTGAAAATAGATTTCAACAGTATTTTTACTGAAATCAGTTATTCTCTTAATGCTGAAAAGAAATTAGACTAGTATTTACACAAACGGGTAATCATGAATTACTATTGTTCTGATAATAAACACTATAACCATTCTCACTTCAGTGATACTGTAGCAGAATAAAATGGACAACTCTGTGGTACAATTAATACTATACATGAGTTGAGAACTCTGAGTTATTTTTCTACTATTAAGCTGGCATAAATACATTCTTGGCTTATGAGTCTTCCATCTTAGAGAAGCAAGCAGATTTACTACTTCAGGCAGAAAGGTAAGCAAATCATAGATTTCTGCTAGCAAGATGAGCTGAATAAAACACCAGAGTCTGTTTATATATGGTTAAGACAGATTTTCAAGAATTCTGGGTTGCCATGTGTGAATGGCTATAGAGTGGAAACCTCCAAAGCTTTTGTTTCCTAAATATTAAATGGGCTAATGGGGTGGTTCTTAACCTTCCTAATGCCGCAACCCTTTAATACAGTTCCTCATGTTGTGGTGACCCCCAACCATAAAATTATTTTCGTTGCTACTTCATAACTGTAATTTTGCTACTGTTATGAATCATAATGTAAATATCTGATATGCAGGATCAGACTCTAGAGTAGACTCTAGAAGATAGAACCATCCAACAAAAGGAATTCCACAACTACAGGTAGTCCTCACCTTATGACCACGACTGAGCCCAACATTTCTGTTGCTTAGCAAGGCAGTTGTTAAGTGAGTTGCACCCATTTTACGACCTTTCTTGCTACAGTCGTTAAGTGAATCATTGCAGTTATTAAGTTAGGAACACAGTTGTTAAATGAATCTGGCTTCCCCATTGACTTTGCTTGTCAAAAGATTGCTAAAAATAATCACATGACCCTGGGACACTGCAACCGTCATAAATACAGGCCAGTTGCCAAGCATCCACATTTTGATCACATGACCAATTGAAAGAAAAGCAGCAAGAGAATGGAAGAAAGGAAAAAGGTTATAAATAAAAAATCAGAACCCCTGTAACATTTTGTGGATGAAGCGAGGGGGTCACGTGACTACTTTTTCATGGAAGTTTCCCAAAACAGAAGGATACGACTTTACAGCTGTCCCAGATTCCAGCTATTTCATTCCCTCCTTCCAACATTTTCACCTTCCATTGAGCATACTTGATTCTCATCTAAATGTTTTCTGACAAGTCCCTCTCTCAATGCATTTCCTTTTTCCTAACAATTTTTGGCAGTGGAGTATACACTTCCCCAACCGGAGCCTCGCCTTTGGATCCCGACCAGGTGGGAGGCAGAATAAAATGAAGCCATTGAAAGGTGGGAGGAGGGAAAATCCCAAGGTTGGCTTGTTCCTGATTCATGACAAAAAAGGCGAAGGGAAGCTTGCAATTTGGGCTGGCAGGCTGGCTTTCTCGCCCGCACCAACTCCCTTCTCTTCGCTTGCAGCCGGGTGATTCCGAGTTTAAGCGCAGCTTCTAGCAACCCCGAGGAAAATCCCATGAATGGGGGTAGTGAGACTCAATTAAGGTGCTTGCCACCCCCCCCCCCCACGCAAGGGCAGAGACCAATCCCACAAATGGCCATCCTGGCTCATGCCCCCACAAAGCAGCAACTCCAATCTAGACCGGGGGGGGGGTTTCAACAGAAAGAAGGCGAGCGAGTGAACAACACCTCGGATGCACCATCCTGTCTTCTGCTGCCTACAGCAGCCCCCCTCCCTCGCAAGCCACTATTCATTTTTAGCAACTGCGGATCTGATTTTGCCAACCAAAAATAAAAATACCTGGGGATTGGGGGAGGCCGCAGGGAGGAGAGAGAGAGAGAGAGGGAGGGAGGGAGGGAGGGAATCAAAATATAAAAGGAACCCACCCCCTCGGCAAAGCCCTCCGGCGTGCTGATTCCACAGCTAACAACCCTTCCTTCCCTCCTTCCCTCCCTCCTCCTCGTCCTCCTGCCTGACGCCCCCTCAACTCCCCGCCAGCCCATCTCCCCTCTTCCACTGAGGCGCGAGCGACTGCATGCAAGCGCGATCTGGAGCAGCTCCGTCGGCTTCACAGATTCCCTGGGAAGATACGTCACGGACGCCAATGTCTGGGCCGCGGCTTCTGATTGGTGAAAAGGCTGGAAGAAGGCAGGCTGAGTCGATGGCTCTTGCTAGCTCTACCTCAGAGGTGGGGAGTTGCTCCTTTGATGCTTTAAATCTTATCATTCTCTGTGTTGTTTTTATCTGCCTGGAGACGGATAGAGGAGCAGTGTCTCGGTTCCTAAGCCCATCGGAAATATATGTTTTCCGATGGTCTTAGGCGACTCCTGTGAAAGGGTCGTTCAACCCCCAAAGGGGTCACGGCCCACAGGTTGAGAACCGCTGGGCTAATGGAATATTTATAAGTATTCTACTTGCTTACAGAGTACAGGTAGTCCTTAACTTACAGCTATTCATTTAGTGATTGTTTGAAGCTATGGCGGTAAAAAAGTGACCTATGATGACTTTTCCCATGACCCTGCATCCCCAGGGTCATGTGATACACCTTTTGCAACCTTCTGATAAGCAAAGTCAATGGGGAAGTCAGATTCCCTTAACAATCATGTTACTAATATAACAACTGCAGTGATTCACTTAACAACTTTGGCAAGAAAAGTCATAAAATGGATAAAAATTCACTTAACATTTCATTTAGCAACAGAAATTTGGGGCTCAATTGTGGTCATAAGTTGAGGACTACCTGTATTTTTCAAATGAGGCCACTTCTTTTACGGAAATTAAATTTAGTTGGACTGAATATCTAACTAACTGGCAAACTAATGAAGTTGAATGGGAAGAAATATTTGGTCTAATGGGAAAGACAAAATCATAAATTAAGACACAATTAACAAAACAATCAAATTTACCACACATACATCTTATTATCTCAATTCTATAATATTAAGTAAGAGCTTGGCCTTCAGCCATACAACTTTTATTGTGCATTAACATACTTTTTTGAACTTTCTGGTGCACCAGAACAGTACATAACCATTTATCTAAAAGCAGTCTATCTCAGCTATCTCACATAGCCATACAACAATGAATACCACAGATGCATGACAGTCATTATGAGGAATATTGTTTCCTACACTTCTGAATAAGAGGTCAAGGTTAGCTGAGGAGTCTGATTAACAAAAAAAGTTCAATAATGATTTGTGTCTTTCTTTTTTAAACCACTACACTTGGGAATATTTTCCCTTACAAATGCAATATGAAAGTAATTTAAACAAATACATACTGGAATGTTTACATGGTTCAGTAATTGGAACATGACCAATTTTCTGCACTGAAATAATTGAACTTCAGATAATTGGATGGATTTGGAATAGCCAGTTCCTCATTAGAAGAAATCTCATGATCACAGTGAGATAAATAAAGTCAGACTATTTGACTTCAAGCAATGGAAGTTGTCCATCATGCTTACTGATGGATGAGACTGAGCTCCATGCAACCATTAAAATGAGAAGTGAGCTATGGAACATTACAAATATTAATGTAGCATTACAGAAGGTAATAGTTTAACCTATTTTGAATTTCCTTGGATAACTCGAGCAATTAAAGCAATCTGGTTCTAATGACCATGATAAAGGAGAAATAAATTTCTCTCCATGTAATTTCTCACCATAGCAGAATTATCATTTCACTCCTCAATAACATTTGTAAAAATACAGCAAAATCCTTGTACAAATCTATACTATGCCAATACATATCTTGAAATGATTTCCATGTAAATTATATAACCATTCCCCATTCTCATTCTCAAATTAGCAAACTTGATTGGGGATTATACTGAAAAACAAAACTGAAACAATATTTGTTGCAGTGTGCACTGCAATAAATAACTGAAGTCCCAGAAAGCCACTCAAAAATAGTTCTAGCATAAATAATTGTATTAAAGCCATTTTGTCTTCTTATATTGTCTTTTCCCACCTTCAGTAAACACCATTCTGAGGACTGTCTGGGAACAAACTGACTATAGGATGACCCATATCAGAATTCTAGGTGCATCAAACATTTATTCAGTTTATTAGATTTATATCCCACTTTTCTTTCAGAAGCATAAAATGCTCCTGCCTCCAGGTTTGTGTGTGTGTGTGTGTGTGTGTGTGTGTGTGTGTGTGTGTGTGTGTGGAGTAGGTTAGACTGATAATCATTGGCTCAAAAATAATTCTGAACTTTGGCTGCTGAAAGTGAAATTGCAACACTGACTCTCAGGACTTTTCTATCACATAAACTGAGAGTAAGTAGCAGATGATGTAAGAACGATTTCATGTTCATCAATCATAGGGTAGATTGACAAGAAAGAGAAACAGAGACTATACTCTCTGTACCTATTTTAACTTCCTTAAAAAAAGCAAAATATTATTAACCTAATACAGATTTTATATGACCCAGCTACCTGGTTCTAAAATTCTTCCAGACCTAAGAAATCAACTTGTTCAACAATTTCCATTTTGGCATTAGTTTTGTTAAAGTACATGAAAATAAGGTATGTATACTACAATGAATATAAAAAGTCTACACACCCCTGTTAAAATTTGAGGTTTTTGAAATGTAAAAAATATCCAATCGAGATAAATCACTTCAGAATTTTTTCCACCTTTAATATAACATATAAGCTATACAATTCAATTGAAAAACAAACTGAAATATTTTAGGGGGAAAAATAACAATAAAAACACATAATAACATGGTTGCACAAGTGTACCCAACCGCCGGTATGTAGGGATGTGACTCTATTCAGAATTAACCAATTACATTCAAACTGATGTTGAATAGTAGTCAGTATCCACCTGCCATCAATTAAAGTGACTCTGATAAAGCCCATATAAAGTTTGATCGTTTATATGGGCTAGTAGGATTTTTCTGATAGTTATTCAGTTACAGCAAACGCCATGGTCAGTAAAGAGCTTACAAAGCATCAAAGTGATCTCATTGTTGAAAAGTATCAGCCAAGATAAGGACACCAAAAATTTCCAAGGCATTGGATATATCATGGAACATAGTGAAGACAGTCATCAACAAGTGGAGAAAATATGGCACAACAATGACATTACTAAGAACTGGATGTTCCTCCAAAATTGATCAAAAAACAAAATGAAAATTGGTCCAAGAGGCTGCTAAGAGGCCTACAGCCACTGTAAAGGAACTGAAAGAACATTTAACAAGCATTGGTTGTGTATTACATTCTTCTTATGTCTGGGCTGTGGGGTAAGGTGGCAAGACAGAAGCCTTTTCTTACAAAGAAAAGCATCCAAACGGGGCTACATTTTGCAAAAACCTACATCAAGTCTGACAAACTCATTTGAGAAAATGCGTTATGGTGATGAGACGAAGGTTCATTGTTGAGTATGATGTACATTTGGCATAAAAACAGCACTGCAAATCACCAAAAATACATCACACCCACAATGAACCTTCGTGGTAGTGGCAGCAGCTTCATGTTTTGTGACTGCTTTTTGTCACCTGGAACTGGGTCTTTAGTCAAGATAGAGAAAATTATGAACAGTTGTAAATATTAGTCAATTTTGGCACAAAACCTTCAGCTCTCTGCTATAATGTTTGAAGATGAATAGGAATTTTACCTTTCAACATGACAGTGATCCAGATCAACGAAATAATGGCTTCACTAAAAGAAGCTGTAAGTTTTGGAATAGCCCAGCCAGAACCTAGACCTGAATCCAATTGAAAATCTATAGGGCAACCCGAAGAGGGCTGTGCATAGCAGATGCCTTCGCAATGTGACAGATGAGGACCTCTTTCGCAAGGAAGAACGGGCAGAGATTCCCAAGGGAAGATGTGCCATGCTGATAAGTTCCTACCCCAATAGGCCGAATACTGTTTTAAAACCAACAGGTGCTTTGCCAAAGTTTTAGTTTAAGGGTGTGCACACTTACGCAACCGTGAATGGGACAACTTGCCACAGCCAACTCACCACAGCCAACTTGCCGTGGGACAACTCACTGCAAAACAATTCCATTTAATTATTTAAAATAAATAAGAAATATTTTATTTTTTGTTGATCATGTTTCATTCTGTCCCTCCTTTTGCTTTCTTCAATGATTCTATTCCATCATTTCTTTGTTATTAGTACAACTTTTGTCTGGCAACGAGTTGTCCTGTGATGAGTTGGCTGCAGCAAGTTGGCCAGGGTGAACTGTCATAGACCCTATGCAACCATGATATTTTATGTTTTTATTGTTATTTTCCCCCTAAAATATGAATTATTTTCCTCCCTAAAAGATTTCAGTTTATTTCAATTGAATTATACAGCTTATATGTTATATTAAAGGTAGAAAAAATTCTAAAGTGTTTTATCTTGGTCTGATTTTTTTTACATCTCAGAAACCTAACATTTTAACAGGGATTGCAGACTTTTTATATACACTGTATATTTACTAAGACTTTCTTCTATTTTATGTTCTTTTTTATGATTTACCTTTATTTCCTGCATGCTGCAAAATATGGATCACTTTATCTGAAGAGAACAGTATGATGGGAGTGTAAATATGTGCATAAAAATGTTCTCTGTGGGCACGCCATATTTTGGCTAGTGAGATGGTTTTCTACTATGGCATCTAATGAAAATATAAAACTCCTGTACAATCTGCACTCTTTTCAGTACAAGTCTACACGTTCCATTTACCTAAGCAGTCATGTTTCCTTTAACAGTTATGACTTAACTGTGACTGATATTAACTAAAGTTCCTATTAGGAGCAGATGATGAGGATTGTTTGTAAACTATAGTTAAGAAGGAAACTGCCTAGCCTTAACACCTAACCAAGAAGTGAAATTAGATGTTCCAGTGTGAATGATGCTAATTTTCTAAACAAATGATATAAAGGGCAGCATGTGTGAGTAGGAAGGGCTTATGCTAGATTTATGATGGCTGCTTTCCCTCCATATTGGGTAGAGGTGATCTTTTAGAAAGAATAATCTCTTTCTGCCCCTTGATTAACAATGTTTACCAAAGGAGAGAAAAAATTTTCACATGAGAAAGGTATCCAACTTCTCTCTGAACGATGACTAGAAAAGAACTTGACTGATGAGACTTTTTATTTTTGCATGTGTTCATAAGTTTGTTCTGTCCTGTGTTTACATTAATTTTCCATAGGTACTGTATTTATATGATCTTAAAATCTTAAGAATGCATGTATTCTACCGAAAACATATTTACAATAAAGTACAAATTTTGTATCATAGGTCCTCAGCCTTTTGGGCACCAGGGATTTGTGACATGGAGAAAGTTTTTTCCGTGGACCAGAGGAGGTGTGGTTTTGAATACTGCCTGCATTCTAAGGATGGAGCTTTGTTTGTTTGTGCGGCTCTCTTGCTAGCATGCTACGGACTGGTGCCGGTCCATGGACCGGGGGTTGATGACCCCTGTCTTATATGTTTTAAAGTAGACAACTGTACCACAAATTCAGCAAAATATGAAATGGCAAAGATATGTTATGCTCCCAAGCTATATACTTGTTTAGGGTTCCCATTAGGAATCAAAGAATTTCCTTGGCTATCCTGGTTGAGAAAGAGATAATGTACCTTCATGAATTATAAAGTATACCTCAAATAACTATGATACAATTTATGAACAGCCAGCACACGTGTCATGATGATGTAAATGGCAGGTGGGCTAATCTTGCGGCCTTTTAAACCTGGATACTAATGACATTTTTATCACCAGCAAAAGTTCCAGTCTAAATGTGTTATGGCGTTGGAATACATACCGTAAAATTCTTTCATTGTCACTTGGCATGTCAATATCAGGATTCATGTGATAGGAAATAAATTCGGTTCCAAAAAGGTCATATTCTAAGTAGCATCCAAGTTTGGCAAACTCTAATAGTTTCTTCTCATCAAATATAGTCCTGCACAAAATCCAGTGTACACCATAAGTATGTTTCGCAATCAACTGAATTGTTTTATGTCATTTAATAAGTCTACAAATATAGCATATATTGCTTTATAATTAACAATTCTCCCTCCAAAATAAATTAAAAGAGCTGTAGAAATTCTGACCTAGTCACATTTATAAATATTGTTATTTTATACACATCTTGTTTATCAGAAGAGTAATTGGTATTTATCTTTTCAATTCTTTGGCAATATATGCCTCAAAGAAAAAATGGAGTACTCTAAACAATAAATAATTCTTCCTATAATGCTCTCTTATATCATTACTTTATACTTATTCAGAATATTTTCACTTTTGCCACCATTAGGACTTGAGATTCCTGAATAAAAACAAGTTGCCTTGGGTGGCATGGATTAAGGCATATGCCTTGAAAGTAAACTAAAAAGTAAATTAAAACCATCAAATCATTTTTAACAATAATCAATTCATAAACATCCGGAATATTTAAAAATCTGGTTAAATTCACTGCCCCTTCCAAAAAACCTACCACACTGTATTGTTCTATATTATGAAATACTAGGCAGAGTAGGCAAACTTAATAATAAACATGTACAATAACAATTATAGATAGTCTTCGAATTACGACCACAATTTAGCCCAAAATTGCTGTTGCTAAGTGAGACAGATGTTAAGTAAATTTTGCCCCATTTTATGATTTTCCTTGTCACAGTTGTTAAGTGAATCACTGAAGTTGTTAAGTTAGTAATATGATTGTTAAGTGAATCTGGCTTCCTCTTTGACTTTATTTATTTATTTATTAAAATTTATAAACCGCCCCACTCCCACAGGACTCCGGGCGGCTAATAATAAAAACACAATATAACTTAACAAGACAAACAATACAGTAACATTCATCCAGGGGTCAGATTTTATAAACCCCAGGCCTGCCGAAAAAGCCAGGTCTTAAGCAGCTTGCGGAAAACCAACAGGGTGGAAGCGGTCCTAATCTCCGAGGGGAGCTGGTTCCAAGACATGGGCGCTATCACAGAGAAAGCCCTCCCCCGTGGCCCCGCCAAATGGCACTGCTTGGCCGACAGGACCTGAAGAAGGCCCAGCCTGTGGGATCTAACCAGACGAAGGGAACTATGAGGTAGTAGGCGGTCTCGCAAATAGCCTGGCTCTGAGCCATATAGAGCTTTAAAGGTAATAACCAACACCTTGAATTGGACCCGGAGACCAGTAGGCAACCAGTGCAGCTCTGCGGAGGATAGGTGTAACGTGGGTGTACTGAGGAACACCCGCTATCACTCGCGCGGCTGCATTCTGGATCAACTGTAGTCTCCGAATACTTTTCAAAGGTAGCCCCATGTAGAGCGTGTTGCAGTAGTCCAAACGTGAGGTGACAAGGGCATGAGTGACTATAAGGAGAGCCTCCCGGTCCAGGTAGGGTCACAACTGGTGCAACAGACAAACTTGTGCAAAGGTCCTCCCAGCCACTGCCATCAAATGATGTTCCAATTTCAGCTGTGGATCAAGGAGGACACCCAAGTTGCGAACCTGCTCCGAAGGGGGTATATTTTCCCCTGCTAGAGTCAACACTGGACAGTTAACATGATCCTTGGTATGCAACATCCAAAGCCACTTGGTCTTGTCAGGATTGAGCCTGAGTCTGTTAACCCCCATCCAGACCCTCACGGCTTCAAGGCAATGGCCCATCACATAGCCGCTTCACTGAGAGAGCTCGGGGAAGAGATATATAGCTGGGTATCATCAGCATACTGATGAAACCTCACCCCGTGCTGTCTGATGATCTCACCCAGCGGCTTCATGTAAATGTTAAATAGGAGGGGGGAGAGGACCGACCCCTGCGGCACCCCGCATTCAAGGGGCCTCGGGGTTGACCTCTGCCCCCCACCAGTACCAATTGCGACCGGCCAGAGAGTAGGAGAACCACCGTAAAATGGTGCCTCCCACTCCCACCCCTCCAAGTTGTCGCAAAAGGATACCATGATCGATGGTATCAAAAGCCGCTGATAGGTCAAGTAACACCAAGACAGAGGAATAACCCCTGTCTCGGGCCCGCCAGAGATCATCCATCAGTGCCACCAAAGCTTGTCAGAAGGTTGCAAAAGGGGATCACATGACCCTGGGACACTGCGACCGTCATAAATATGAACCAGTTGCCATCCAAATGTAAATCACATGACCCTGGGATGCTGCAATGATTGTAAGTGTGAAAAATGGTCATAAGTCACTTTTTTCAGTGACATTATAACTTTTAACGGTCACCAAACAATGGTTGTAAGTCGAGAGCCACATGTAAATATGTATGTATGTATGTATGTATGTATGTACAGTACGTATATATTTGTACAAAGATATTCATCAGCTAATTAATTAAAAATGTTAATAAAGAAAAATAAAAATAGTTAGATATATATTTTGAAATGTAATTCCAAAATTGAGGATTGTTGGTTCTTTCCAAAACAAATTTTTCAATTATTTGAGCAGGGAAAGTTCTAGTTAATTTCATTACATGGAATAGACAAAATTTAAAATACCTACAAAAATAATACATATAATATATACACTAAAAACAATTTTATAGCAGTAAAGGTACAATAATAAAAAGAAACCGCGGGGCCACAGGGGAGGGCTTTCTCTGTGATGGCGCCCACGTCTTGGAATCAGCTCCCCCCGGAGATTAGGACCGCTCCCACCCTGTTGGTTTTCCGCAAGCTGCTTAAGACCTGACTTTTCTGGCAGGCCTGGGGTTTATAAAATCTGACCCCTGGATGAATGTTATTGTATTGTTTGTTTTGTTAAGTTATGTTGTGTTTTTATTGTTAGCCACCCGGAGTGCTGCGGGAGTGGGGCGGTCTATAAATTTTAATAAATAAATAAATAAAATAAACCAGTGTTTCTATTCTTCCTAATATTATGTATGAAAAAAACCATATAATTCCAGTATATAAAAATTGCTCAGATGATGTTCATTTTTTCCTTTGGATTAGAATTCTTCTATTTTTACACTACAAAGAATGAAGTAAGACACTCATCTTGTTTAATATTTTATTATTCAGATAAATAAAACCTCTAAATAAATTATTTTTATTTTTCTAAATAATCTGATTTTTAATCAACTTGAGCTGCTTATAAAAGAAAGAGTTTTATTTACTAATTTCCTCTAGGTCAGTATTTCTTAAACTTTTTTCTTCCAGGACTTATTCCCAGTTTTAAAAATTACAAAGGGCCCCAAAAGAGTTTTTGTTTTTATGGGTTATATTTATTTACTCTATTAAAAAAAATCACATTCACTGCTACTACCACTTTTCACAATTGTCTGACGGGATTTTAATATTGTATTATTTTTCAATGACTGGCAAATAAATTTGATTTCGTAGACTCTTAAGAGGATTTTGGTAGATCCCCAGGGATTCTTGGACCATATTTTGAGAAACATTGGTCTGGGCTTTAATATGCACTTTTGGTTTGAAATAGGGCTAACCTGGAGCAATGAAAGGGCAACACGTTCCATGTTTTGATCACTGATTTGATTAATTTCTTAAATTCAGCCAAAGGCAAGGAGAGAAAGTATTCCATAGATCAAATATGACATGTGATCAAGTATTTCTGGATGCACGATAATATTGAGGCAATTAACTAATGTGAAAAAGTCCCTGTGCCTATGATTTGTGTAAGAGTGGTAATAAACTACAGATCCAGGAAAGAATCATACTGAACAGGAATGAAAAGCATACAAAGGTATGTGTATCTTCAAACCCTCGGGCTTAATGAACAGTTCCTAGTTTTCCTTCAATTACATCACAATGTGTTATTCTAAAAAGGACTTCTTACACAAATTCAATCTTTTGACTTGATACCAGAATCAAGGAGGGGGGGCAGGTAGGATGAAAGAAACCAAAAATAATTGCCACCAGCTAACTGCTAACTCTTCTTCTTTTCTTCTTTTTTACAACCCTACAATTCCTTGATTCAGGGTAAAATTGGGACAGCTGAATGGCCAGATGCCCTTCCCGATGCCTATGCGGAGTTGCACCCTGAAAGAGGAACATCTGCTGCTACCTAAGATTGAATTCTCAATCTTCCCAAGTGGGAGGTCAGCATCTTCACCACTAGGCTACCATGTTGCTCATCACTCCTGCAAACTCTAGCTAATAAATTTATTTTTTCAATAATCTTCAGAGTTTACACAAATCAGAAATGCTAACTAATAAGTTTTTCAAATTGCCAAGCATTGTTTTGGTTTCATCTCCCATAGAGACAGCTCCAGATATTGAAGTGCAGAAAAATATTATAAAGATGGATGTCTATATTGAAGAACCATAGCGTACTCTATTTTGTCTTTATTTTATATCACAAATCAAAGGATAATGCCAGCGATCTTTTAGTTAACATATAAAGAAAACAAATTCATTTAAATAAGGCCTGTTAATAACCACCAGCCTGATTACCTGAGGCAATCAAGGTTCACCTCTAGGCAATCAGACAGAGAAGTATTTGCAATCTGGAAAAAAGTTTATTTTTCTTCTAATGCCTCACAGATGAGCAGAATGAAAAAATAGGTTGGTAGCATATTTACTTTCCTTTTAAGGATCTATAATAAAAAGTTGCAGCACCATGACCTCTACTATCTTATTTTTCAGCCAGCAATGCCTCTAGAACAGTATTTATTTCTAAAAGTGTATTCAAGACCCTCTCAGAGATTCACAAAATCTACAAATTAAAGGTCTTTTGGATCCTCCAAGATTTTTAAAAGTGTGTCCTGAGAGCACAAACTTTAAGAAAAACTACTCCAGAACATGCCATTCTGTTCTCCATTTCTCTTCACGGGACTCTTCTTACTGGGCTGCTTTAGACCCTTTTGTTACAACCCAGGCAGAGGCCGGCATCACTAGAGTCCTTTATTCCTTTGATTAAAGGCCACAACAAACCGTCCTACAACGGCCTGGTAAAGCCCCACACTACCCTCAAGGTAGCCACCCTCAGTCCCCAGAAGCCAGTAAACAACAAAGGAAGTCCAAAGAGTGGGTGCAAGCTCACAGGGCAAGATCCAGAGTTCAGGTACAAAGGCCAAGACAAGGCCACAAGGCCAAAGGCAAATCCACAAGGTAAAGCAGTCCATGAGGCAAACCCAGTCCACAGGGTCAAAGGCAGTCTGCAAGGCAAAGGCAAGGCATGGACAAGAGCACGAATCAAAGCCAGGGGTGACCTTCTCTTGAGTAGCCCCACAGCCCTTTCCTGATCTTGCCTACACTCCGCTCTCTGTGCCCTTAGATCGAATGGGGAGGAAGCTGTTCCTCATTAGAGGGAATCTGCTGCCTATCAGCACCACCTATCAGACACCTCTCCTCTAGAATTTTCATCAAATCTGAAAAACTTTACCAAGTTTGCAGTGCTATAATGGAAATGGTACAGAAAGAATAGTGCATCCCACATTTTCATGATAGGTATATGTTCAAAATAGCTTCCATCTGTAATGCTAATCAATAATTGTCAAGTTGCCAACATCCGGCCACATAAGGTTACAGAAACTCGGATATACAGATCATTTTTCTCAGTTGAAGAAAGGGGACATTCACTGCTATACTCTTGATTAAGTGCACTATTGTTTTTGTTTTCAGAAGCCATACCTTGCTGTTCTAGTACAAAATGAGTCATCTAACACAGCCCACTATCTTTTTCAACATTACTTGATTATTTGTTGTGTTTGCTTTGTGTCATTGTTACAAATGTTAAAACCTCAGGAAAAGGATAAAGATTCAGCATTGTCCTCCAACAGATAGCTTCTGAACTATTGAAGGTTACTTGCTCTATAGATATATTTCTAATATACATATTATAAAAAAGCTCAGATCTTTGACAATTGATTCAGGGAAAGCCAACAGGAAGATGGGCCAACCTTTTTAAGTACTATCAATTAAAAAAAAGTAGTGGTTTACTTTAAGGAATCAACTCACAGAGAGACTTGTCAACACTGACTGATGACAATTAATCAAAATCACGTGGCATTTTTTCTAAATTTTACCTAGAGATGTGGATATAATTTTACAACTTTTCTACTTGCACAATGTACACTCTATGATTTAAATATTCTATTCTTAACTATTCTAAAATTCTGAGAAGAACCATACATCAGTCCTACAGTAAGCCAGCAACATCAAACATCAACATAAATGGACTTATCCATGATTAAGTCTTTGCTTACTTGAGATAAGTCAACATAACTTGCTTCGTTGTTAGTTTGTCTTGATTGATGACTGCAAAACTATATTTCTATATCCTAGTGGAAAAACTGATAGGCCACCCAGTTTCATATCCAATTTACAGTAACGTTGCTACAAAATTCTGCATTAATTTAAAACATCTAGGTAGATCAATTCTTAGACAACCACAAGGAGGTAATGATAAGCAGTTATATGTAAAAAATACTGTATATCATAAACTAATAAAACTAGGAGACACTAGGAAGGATGCTATGTATAGGAACCATTTCTTTTCCATAATATATATGTATCATGTCATAGCTGGTTTATTCCAGACATCAATGGACCTAGTGTGAAATATTTCATTTTAAAAAATGAAATCATAATTAGTAAACAAGAGACAACAGTAATCTGTGCAGTGGAAGTATCACAATTAGAATCACAGTTTCTTGGGCATACTATATAGATAGTATATCCAGATGAAGAAAGAGGGTGTACATAAGTTGGAAAGATCCAACAAAAACAATAGAAAAATCTGACAATTTTTACGGTGAAGTTGGAAGAATAGTACAAATACTTAAAAGAGGTATGTGTGGCTTCATAAAATTTAAACAATGTAAGAATTATAGATCAATAAAATATTTTGAATTATGAGTCTGAACAATTTCCTGACATAATTAGAACTTGATACTATAAAGTAGATTTTGCATCTACTTCACTTAAAATATATAATCTATTTAAGGTATCCAACTAGAGACTAAGGAGGCACTCATCTATAAATGAATGTTATAGTCTACAAAGCAGTGTAGGCAGGCAGCCTTTTTTTTTTAAAAAATCTAGATTTTAGCAGAACTGAGTACTCTTTTATAAGTATTATAGTTTGAGTATTTTCAAAGGATCTGTCACTAACTTTTGGATAATTCATCTAAGCATTATGACTACAACTGGCAGTAAAAATTAAGCCATTCTGTCTAATAATACATCAAAACTTCCAGATTTAATTAATTTCTTAAAATTCCACTCTTTAGATAAATATACAGTACATAAATATGAACTCAGTCACCAGAAATCCAATTTACCTGTCCAAATGAGACATCACAGTTTTTGAGATGTTAGCCCCAGCTTCCTGCAAAATTCTAATGATCTGGAACGGTGAATCCCCATTTCGGCCTGGATGGATGATGACTGGACAGCCAAGTTGCACCTGGGCATGTGCTGTTGCTTTAAGGACTCTGTTTTCACTGTCAGTCAGAGGCCAAGAGCAGCCAATTTCCCCTATTACACCACACTTGATATTGCTTCCATCAGCTCCATTGAGAACTTCATTAACAATAACTTCTGTCAACTAAAGAAAATGAATGTTATTGTTATACCCATTCTCTTTGATGGGTATAACTTGTGGTGAGAAGAGACAAAAAGAACATTTCAACCTTTTTCACCAGTCAAATGAATATTCTGTTTCCAAACAAAAAAGCTACAATACCAATGCATTTCAAAATAAAGATGACATTTCTGTTATGTCATTGGGGAAGATGAAAGCTGCAAGAAACAATTACTGTTATTTATTAAAATAGGATGAAGTAGAATTATAAGCAACTCCAAAACAAAAATGTACTGGAATCTAACCAACTCTAAAACAAACTCCTTGCATTTTTGCTAAGTTTCGTGTAATTAGGAGAATCACTTTTACATGAAGTCATGTCCCAAAGATATTTGGTTATCAATACAGTATTCTTCTCTGTAACAAATAACTTTAAATAAATAATTATACATGATGTATATGGCTTTGAATAGATCCATATTAAATTGTTCTAACTGCTCATAATGAATTAGTCAGGCTCTAGCAAGGACAGGATGTCTTTTTTCTGACAAAAATGGGGGATGAAAAAACAAGAGTGTTAAAATCAAGGGCTGTTTTTTGTTCTAACTTTGTTCACCACCAGCTCAAAATCAACATTACCCTTGAGAAGAGGTGCTCTTTGAGAGAAAGATTTCTCACTCCCTATGGGAAAAAACCAATTTCCCACATAAATGAATTATTTTACATTAGTTTTATATACCTCAAAGGAAAACTATGATAAATCAACCAATCAGGAAACTTTCTTTTTTGCAAATGTGGAATATATTTGAAAATTAAATTGTGACTTTTTGTAATCTCATAGTAAATTTTGGTGAAAACTTTTGATGTGCTGGTCTACAATCACAATAAAAAATTGATTTCATTTGAAATGTGTCAAAACAGATTTGTTTTATATATATAGGGGAGTTCAGGATAAATAATTTCACAGCAAGAATACTTCACAATTTGTTTTGAAGATACTGACTTCTGACCTTAAAGCTCTTTTCTTCCTGATATGTTGCAGCAAATTAACACAATATGCACAAGTTGGTAAACATGGAGTATTAACTAATGATAAATGCAATAGGACATACAGAATCTCAAAATATAATCTTAATATTTTCTTAATAAATTAATAGTATATATAAATAAAAGTAGTTTTATGGATATTTATCTGGAATATTTTCCACAATGTAACTGAAAGATTTGGGAACATTTCTACCATATTTTTATAGATAAAAGAATGCTAAAGATACCCACAACTTGTTTAGTGACTACTTTGGTCAGCAACCAATTACAAATACAATAATAAAACAATAATTTTCTGAGCAATGTGCATTTACAACCTAATTTCATGCATTTGACAAGAATTCACACTGGAGTTACAGTAATGCTGGCACGGGTATATGAGAGATCTTAATCTAAATTAGATGGCAGTAATCACTGATATTCCTGCCTCTCTCTCTCTCTCTATGACATGTTCACTTAATAACCATTTCCCTTAATAACAGCACAACTCAGGTACTAAATGAGGAGTGGTTATAATACTGTAAGTATTGCCAGAATCAACAGGATCAACATAATTATGTTAGGGAGAAAAAATGTCTTCTCTTCTCATTGAACCACAAATAACCGTTACTCATATTAGACAGGCACATAATAAATATTTCAGGAATGTACAGATTCAGTCCTGAATGAAGAGTCATTTGCAACATAAAATATGCTTATTTGAATAGCAATTCTATATATTAAAGGGCATGAAAGCTACATGCTGAATTAAAAACTGTTAGCGTCTTACTGAGAAAAAATTCACAATTAAATCAGTTTATGCTTGACATTTAGTTTTTGCTTAAATAGATGGAAAGAACAACAGCTCTGCTTCTGAGATACATGTGAAAGAAAAACTAGATTTTGCAGAACAGAACTTAGTGCAAACAAGGTTTTTCTCTGTTATTTGTCAAAAATGTGTTCAACACTTTGTGCTAATATATTTAAGCAGAATGGTTTTGCATTCCTGTTCTCATACAGTCATCTAGAAATATTCATCCCCCTATAGTTCAACCCTTCTTTACATATGAATGTAGTAACATCTATTGAGTGTTCAAAATGGTTGTTCAGTTTCTGACATTTTGATACCTACCTGTTCCACAGACATAGCTTTAGTCTCAGAAGAATGAGTGGCATCTACATAAAAACCTGCCCCAGCAATAACATGGACACCAGTTTCTTCTGAAAGCTGTTTTAGTATCTTCACATCTCGCATGATCCCAGTGGTTGTATTTTCCACTATGCTTCCACCTCCTGCAGCCTTGTAATGAAGGAGTTCTTCTCTCACAGCATCTGTCTCTTCAAACAGCAGAAGGTTCTCTTTGTGGCTATAAGGATTCTGTTTAAGCCAAAACAAGTTCTTCATCTCAATAGGTTTTTCAGAAAGAGCTTCTTGACCCAAAGGTGGTGGGTAGTAAGAGCAGCTGAAGCCCATTGTCAAGTGTTCATGAGTCATAGTGTAACCCAGTTGGCTAGGGTCTATCAGGCCCAATACAGTCTGAATTTTACCCTTCAGCGAAGACATTTTTTGCTTTATTGATACAAAATATGTTTTCTAAGGAAAAAGAATGAAAAAACAATTACATGCTATCTTTGTTATGCATGTTAACAAAGACACTATAGAAACAAGGTAGAACTTATTTTAAATATTTTTCTTCTGTTTTGCTATTAAGTAAAAAAACGTTTATGAAAGGAATGATGAATTTTATTTATTTCATTGTGGATACTAGGGTCTTTAAAACTATTTTCTCATATGCAGTCCCAAATATGGTTTTAAAGTATTTGATAAGATTTATCTTATCAAATACTTTATCTATCTTTTATCTTTTTAGGACTGAAGGATAAATTATAGTTAGGAAACAGCTGCTAATAAATAGATCTAAGTAGGTTGAAATTTCCTTCATATTTATTGCCTATACTTCTATCCTATTATTTGAAATACTTGCTGGTTATTTCAAAAGCATCTCTGAAGCATAAAACAACAAAACTTTACAGTTCATAAAAAGAAATAAATAGTGAAAGTGATACTGGGTTTTTCATTGCTTCTTGAACTGAAAATTCCCAGAAACTTAAACTGATCAAACACACCATAAGTATTTAAAAGGCCTAAGTAGGTAAGTTATAACTGCAATTGTATGATTGTCTAACTGGGAAAGGAACCATAACTGAGAAAGAGAAGGGGCGTTGTCTTACCTGAACGCCTTTTCTCAGCAGGATGATGTAGAGTCCAATGGTTGGGTTCTATGACAGCCTTCCTGCCCGGCAGACTGGGTAAAAACTTTGGCCACACCCTTCCCTTGGGCGTGACCCCAGTTTTGACTTAAGCGAGAACTGTTTGTTGGATTCGATACGGTAGCTCCTTGTCCAATACCTGCCTAGACCTAATACCTGAGGGGGCTTGGACTCTACATCATCCTGCTGAGAAAAGGCGTCCAGGTAAGACAACGCCCCTTCTCCAGCAGGATGGCTGTAGAATCCAATGGTTGGGACATACCAAAGCCCTCATGTCCCTCTGGGAGGGAGTGTCTAGGCCACTGAATCCTGAGCAGATACAACTTGCTGTAGCACTCTTCTACCAAAGGCAGCATCCGCTGCGGCAAAGGAGTCTAAATGGTAATGCCTAATGAATACAGAGGGAGAAGACCAAGTTGCGGCCCTGCAAATCTCTTCCACCGATGCTTGTATGGACCACGCAGCCGACATGGCTGTGCTGCGCATTGAATGGGCAGTCACGTGTGGGGGCACCGGTAGTGCCTGCGAGACGTAGGCTTGGGCTATACAGGCTCTGATCCACCTACCTATGGTAGAAGATGACACCTTCTTTCCCATAGTTGATGGTTGGAAGGAAACAAATAATGCTTCCGTCTTACGGAAAGACGAAGTGCGCTTTACGTAGAAACACAACACTCTACGTACATCCAGCTTGTGCCATCTATGTTCTAGTCTATGTCTGGGTTTTGGGCAGAAATCAGGAAGAATCAGTTCCTGAGATCTGTGGAAGATGCTGTTCACCTTTGGAACGAATGCAGGGTCTGGTCTAAGAACGACCTTGTCCTTGAAGAAGGTACAGAGATCCTTCCTCACTGACAGTGCTGCTAGTTCCGAAATTCTTCTTGCTGAAGTAATAGCCACTAGAAAGGCTACCTTTAACGATAGGTGATAAAGAGAACATGAGTCAAGAGGCTCAAAGGGTGCTGATGTCAAGGCTTGAAGAACTTTGGGCAAGTTCCAAGACGGGTACCTGTGTATAACAGGAGGTTTAGTATTGGCCGCACCTCTCAAAAAGGCGCTAATTGTTGGATGTTGCGCTAGAGAGGTTAAGTTGTCACAGGAAAGTACAGTTGAGAGGGCCGATACCTGTCTACGAATAGTGTTGACAGATAGGCCCTTATTAAGTCCTTCCAATAGGTAATCTAGAATATTGGGAATAGATACTGAGGTTGGATCTAGGTGAAGTAGGACGGACCACCTGCAAAAACCTTTCCATGTAGCATCGTAGATCCTGTTTGTCGAAGGTCGTGTTGATGCTTGTATGATCGATATCACCCCTGAGGAATAGGATTGTTTGGCTAAACTTTGCCACTCAAATGCCAAGCGGCTAGTTTTATTACTATTACTCGGTCCGGGGGAATCCTCCATGGGGGTGATATTGAAAGATCCACGAGGTCGGCAAACCACAGGTGCCTTGGCCAATGTGGAGCAATCAAGATTACTTCTGCACCTTCCAGGATCAACTTGCGTATGGTTGCCGGTATTAATGGCAGTGGTGGAAAGGCGTACAGGAGTTGTGCCGGCCACCGACACCTGAGAGCGTCCGTTCCCTCCGATCCCGGAGTCGGGAATCTGGAGAAGAACCTGGGGAGTTGCGTGATCTTCGGAGTGGCAAATAGGTCCAGATGTGGTTGTCCTAACCTCCGGGAGATCTCCTCGAACAGAGCCGGATCCAGACGCCATTCCGACAGATCCACCTTGGCTCTGCTCAGGGAGTCTGCCTGGATATTTGTCTCCCCTGAGATGTGTTCCGCTCTGATGGAACTCACATTTGCTTCTGCCCACCGAGCCAGAGCTGATGCCTCCTGCATTAGTTCCGAGGATCGTGTTCCTCCCTCCTTGTTGACATGGGCCTTGGCCACTACGTTGTCTGTTAGAACGGGAACGTGTCTCCTCGTTACTATGTGGGAGAATTGACGTAGAGCCAGGTGAATGGCCCGAAGCTCCAGCCAATTGATGTTGTGAGAGAGGTCCTCCTGATTCCACTGGCCCTGCACTATCTGAGTTCCGAGATGGGCTCCCCATCCGAATAGGCCCGCGTCTGTCGTGAGCGTGATCCGGTTCGGCTCCCTGAATATATTCCCCCTGAGCATCATGGGGGATATCCACCAATTCAGTGATTTCAGCAAATATCTTGGTATCAAGACCCTCCTGCTGGAGGTACTGAGGCTCCTCCTCTGATAGGGGAGGAGGAACCACTGCAACTCCCTTGAGTGGAGTCTTGCCCATGGGACTATGCCCATGCAAGATATCATCTTTCCCAGGAGCTTCGAGAGCTGTATCAAAGGTACTCTCTTGTCTTTCCGAATTTGATGAGCCAGCTTGGAGATGCTGCTTCGACGCTCCTGGGAAAGATATACCCTGCACTGGGACGAGTCTATCACCGCTCCCAGGTGCTGTAGCTTCCTTGAGGGAGTGAGATGGCTCTTTTCTACATTGACTGAGAATCCGTGTTCTTGTAGAACACGGATTATGGTCTGGAGGTCTAATTTTGCTTGCTCGTGCAAGCTGGACTGAATCAAGATATCGTCTAGATAAAACTGTACACGCACCGGCATCAACCTGAGATGGGCCGCTATTACTGCTAGAATTTTGGTAAATACCCTTGGGGCTGAGGATAGACCGAAGGGCAGAGCCCTGTATTGGTAATGCCGGTGTGCGTAGGTAAATCTGAGGAATTTGCGGTATTTGGGTTGGATGGGCATATGCAGGTACGCCTCCGTGAGATCTATTGAGGACAGGAGGTCGCCCTTCCTGACACTGGCTAGGATGGATTTCAGGGACTGCATTTTGAACCTCTTGTAAGTTACGTAATAATTCAGGCCCTTTAGGTCCAATATTGCTCTCCACCCTCCTGATGTCTTTGGGATTACAAAGAGGATGGAATAAAATCCTCTTCCTTCCTCTCCTTTTGGTATCTCCTCTATGGCCTGAATTGACAGGAGGTGTGCTATGGCCGAGGTTACCAACCTTGCCTTGTGTGCCTTTCTGGAGATGGGACATCTGATGAATCGGTTTGGTGGGGAGAACAAAAGTCTAAGGTCAGGCCATGCCTGATTGTCTCCAAGACCCAGGCGTCGGTAGTGGTCTGTTCCCAGACTTCGATGAAATTCCCTAACCGACCTCCTATGGGAGTGTCCTGTCTGGCGTCACTTGGCGCGTTTAAAGGGTCGGCCTCCCGATCCTCTAAAGGTACGCCTGGACTGAAACTGGCCTCTGGCTCCCCTGTTTGGGCGATCCTGGGAACGATCCTGTCTTGAATAGCCGGATCGTGAGCCTCTAGACCAATCCCAGGATTGCCCTGATCGAAAGGGCTGTGCCCAGTCCCAGGAGTTGCCTGGGCGGAAACTTTGCCTCTGGAATTCCTGACTGCCTCTCCTGTCTAATTTCTTTGATCGATGGACTAGAATTTTCCTGTTGTCCCTACTCTCGTTTACATGTGGATCCAGAATGGATCTAAACAAATGTGACCCACTGTACTTGGACGTCGAAAGACGCCACTTGGCCTTCAGATCTGTCTTCCAATTTTTGAGCCACAGTAATCTGCGAGAGGCTACTGTGGCCGCAATCGATCTTGCCGCATACTTGGTTGCGTGAAGTGAGGTGTCCGCCATGAATTGTGATGCCGCCAGTATCTTGGCCAAAGTTTGGTGAGCTCTGACCTGATCTGGAGGTACAGTGGTTTGTAGCTCGCGCAGCCACATGATACATGCCCTGGCGAAGAATGATGATGAAGTTGCCGCCTTGGCTGCCCAGGCTGCGGCCATGTGGGAACGACGGAGGGAGTGCTCAAATTTCTTTTCCTCTGGTTTCAAGGCCTCCGCCATGTCCCCTGGAATCGCAGAAGTAGAGAATAATGAGATCAAGGGACTATCTATTGCAGGGACATCAAACATGCCCGAAAAGGAAGGAGAAACATTGAATAGTTTCCTTTCCACGCTGTTAGGTGCTGGTGGTGTTGCTAGGGAAACCCATTGCTCCTCTACCGTGATGCGGAAAACCTCAGGACAAGGAATGTACTTGTCCTGTGGCACCTTCTTGGCAAAGAGAGGGTTTGCCTCCTTGCTAGTAGAAGGATTTTCCTCCTGAACTGAGGTCAAATTGACCGTAGAGACTGCCTTTATCAGAAGTGACTTTAGAAGAGCTGGATCAAAGAGGCCAGAGCTTGTTGCCTGCTCAGGAGCGGTCCCCTCATCCTCCGAGAGGGGCATATCAGACATGTCTAGGTCTAGTAATTCTCCCTCTCCTATTTGAGAGGAAGTTTCAGAAGTGTTTGTAGCCGGAGCCTTGCTTCGTCCCTTAAGGGATGGTTGAAAGCTACTTGGCCCTTAGAAGCCATAAACTGGGAAAAGGCATCCTGCATGAATGCCTGAAATTGGGCAGACCATATGTCCTCCTGAGGTCTGTCCATGGACGCAGCCACAGTGGGAGTATGGTCTGGTGAAGATGCAAGTGAAGAGGATTGGGAGGAATCCAACTGTTCAGTTTCCCCCGGAGGAGACCAAGTCCTGAGAACTTCCTGGGAAGTAGGTTCTGTATTAGGGGCCACCAATGGGACAGGGAAAACCACGCTTGTCCCATTGTCATTGGTTTTCTGGGCCCTGGCAAATTGTCTTTCTAGAGCCAAATGTCTCCTCGATGCCTCTTGCTCAGCTGTTTTGGATGGACCCCTTTGGATCAGGTGCTTTGTTTTAGCCTTCTTCTTCCCCCCCACCTCAGGTTCTGAGGATCTGCGTTTTTGTTGTTGTTGTGGGGGGGGGGCAATTGGGGGCCCTGCATAGCTGAATGCGAGACATTGTCTGCCATTGTGACCAGGTATCCCGAGTAGGCAATACCTGGGGTGGGGAATAAACTGCACGCAGATCGGTTGCAGATGAATCAAGCCTGCAAGGCTTATTCTGCACAGAAGAAAACAATGGCTGGACAGACAGGTCCCTTGTCAGGAGGATCCTGTAGGCGGTGACTAAAGGTCACTCTGAGGAACAGTGGACCAAATTTATTTCCTCCCTCTCCTTCACCGATGGCAAATGTAATGGCCCGGATTAGAGGGCAATGGTTTGATGGAGTTGTAAATATAAGTTCTCCACTATGTGGCTGTAAAGACAGTCCACTGGGTGTGCTAATAAACTTTCTCCTCTCCTTCTCTCTCACTCTGTCTTCTGTGGAGACCTTCCAGAATATGGCCACCTAAAATGGAGGCTATGTGAACAAGGGGAACACCCCAAGATGGAGACTTGGTGGAAGCCACGCCTTCCCCTCACTGCCAAGAAGAACCACGAGGCTCAAGATGGCGGCTCTAGCTCCAACGGCTGCTCCGCCACTCAAAATGGCGGTTTTGGGCCCAACGGATGCTCCGCCGGCAGGGCAGGCTTTGGGACGGCAGAGGGTAGTTTTATAGTTGTTTAACGAGCCCCCCGGGCATAGACCGCTCTTCCCCAGGGAATCTAGTGCTCGCACAATGGCCGCGTTGCCTTTGGCCGAGAATCTCCCTGATGCCAGCGACGCGGCTCCCGCTGTCTAGCGGCTCCGGTTTCGCGCGCCCCAGCTGATCCTAGTAAATATAGGTCAGCGGCGCTTCTCCGCTGCCTCTCGCAGCTTCCCTCGGCTATTTTTTTTTTTTTTTGATACTGTCACCACCTCTGAGACGACGCTTCCACTGAACGGCGATCCGTCAGCTGCTTGGAGCCCCGAGCCAAGACTGAAGGAAGAAGGGAAACCTGCCTCCCTGTAAGGTTGCTAATCAAATTGTTGATTTGTAAAGAGAGAGAGAGGGCTTTAGGTAATAGAAATGCTTTTGTCAGGAGCTGAATTTTTAGCTGCTAACGGGCTTCGAGACTGAGTCAACACTGGGGTCACGCCCAAGGGAAGGATGTGGCCAAAGTTTTTACCCAGTCTGCCGGGCAGGAAGGCTGTCATAGAACCCAACCATTGGACTCTACAGCCATCCTGCTGGAGAAACAAGGAGTATAAAACATCAAAATAATGCATTGCTAACGTTGGAAATTGACCAAAGAGAGAAGCAACCTGGAATTAAGGAGAAACTTCCTAACAGTGAGGACAATTAACCAGTGGAACAGCTTGCCTTCAGAAATTGTGGGTGCTCCATCACAGGAGGCTTTTAAGAAGAGACTAGAAGTCACTTGTCTGAAATGGTATAGGTTTTCCTGCTTGAGCAGGGGCCTGGACTAGAAGATCTCCAATATCGATTCTATTCTATTCTGTTCTGTTCTGTTCTGTTGTTCTGTTCTATAAGGAACATATAAACACTATTAAAGACTTTTTTCTAACTAGTATAAAAGTATATCATATGCTAAATTAAATTGACTAAAGTATATCATATGCTAAATTAATTGACCAACTATTTTTGTTGCAGCAAGTGAATGATATAATAACAAAAAATAAAGGGACATAAGAGGATCTGTGTAGTCCAGGAAGATAAAATGGCTGCAATAATCAAGGGGAGCTGAACAGCAAGAAAAAAAATCTACATTTTTCTTTTCAAGATAGATACAGCTGCCTTTAGCAATAATCCAGATGTGGATGAAGGATGAATCTTATAAACCTTGTGACCTCTCAAGCTTCCTCCTTCTGTTATATATGCAAGATGGACAGTGTTTAATATTTATGTTATGAATATGTAGGGATGTAGGTCTATACATATGTTGCCTATAGTATGTATATGTTGTATATAGTATGTTTAGGTTTGTGTCATATATGTGTTCACTTTGAGAGTGGGCAACTAAATTTCATTATTGATGTATGTCATTGTGCCCACAGTAAAAAATGACAATAAAGTTATCTTATCTAAACAATATAAATTATAGCAAAAAGTGGCTTCCTTTCTTCAAAGTCCAGAATTTTTTTATTTCATTTCATTTCATTTCCATTCTGCTAAATAAAACAGTCTCTAGGGGGCTTATAGTACTATTGAACAAATTTATTTTAAATGTAAACAAATTAAATTTGTTTTATTAAAACAGATTAAATAATGAAGTTTTACAGAAGAAATGCCATTAGTTAAAAAATAACTGAACAACGGTAACAATAAACCAGCACAAGGAATGAGAGAGTCATCTAAACCTTAACCAGCTATTCCACAGAACTGGGGCAGTCACAAAAAGGAGCTGCTTCCTTCCATCCATCCCAAAATCACAGGCGAGGAGTGGGGTGGGGAGCAGGGATGCAGTTCATGCCTTCCTGGTTTAAGTGCACTTAGATTCTATTCAGATGGTTCTCAAGGTAATTTTTACAAAGCCGTGAAGATCTTTATAGGTAATTATCAAGATTTTAAATTGGCACGAAAATATGCAGGCAGCCAATATTTTGCTCATACCATTGCAGTACTGCTAAATGGCTTCATTTATCAGCTTCTTTGCTTTCACATTCTACTGAACATCACCAAAAAATAGAGGGTGTTGCACTCTAAGGCTAAGAAAGACATGAGTTGTTCTTGCCAGGTCCGTTATCAGACAAAAATTAGATGAATGGCTTCCTTTGCCAACCACCTGCATATCTGTTTTATTTGTCTGGCTCCTCTTTTTACCACAACAGCACTAAGCAGCTAACAACATATAAAAATATTGTCAAAATTCATATCAAAACAGCATTAGAAAGAAGCAGAAGCCACAAACCCAGAAACATTATGGATCAGAGTGACTCTGTTTAAAGTTATCTGGGATAATGGCTTATCCCATTAGGTTTCTAGTCAAAAGTAGTTTGGTTTCTAGTCAAAAATAATTTGGTACAATTCAGTCTGAATTTGATTCATTCCAGCCAATCCATAATAGCCTGAAGACACTGGATAAGGACACTGATAACATTAATTCCTCCTCCTACTTTTATAATCCAGAAGGATACCATAATTGATGGTATCAAAAGTTGCTGACATTTCCAACAGACTAGGACAGATCCTAACAAAGGTCATGAATAAGGCTGATCAATTCCACTTCAATCCCATATATGGGTCTGAAACCAGACTGTAAACAGTAAAAAATTAAGTTTTATCCAGGGTTCTCTACTATTCTCTAAATTCTTTCTTAAACATGGAAGTTTGGACATAAAGGTAGTCCTCAACTTACAACAGTTTGTTTAGTGACTGTTTGCAGTTAAAATGACACTGAAAAAAGTGACATTACCATTTTTCACACGTACAACTATTGCAGCATCTCCATATTGGTCAAAATTTGGATGCTTGGCAACGACTCATATTTGTTATGGATGCAGTGTCCCAGGATCATGTGATCACCTTTTGCAACCTTCTGACAAACAAAGTCAATAGAGAAATCAGGTTCATTTAAAAACCTTGTTACTAACTTAGCAACTGCAGTAATTAACAATTGTGGCAAGTAAGGTTGTAAAATGGGATAAAACTCATTTAACAAAGTCTGGCTTAACAACAGAATTTTGGGTTCTATTGTGATCATAAATCGAAGATTGCCTATAGTGCAGTGTGTCCAAAATTATCTGTTCTTTATCACCAAAAATATTTTTATTTTATCTTAGGCCAAAATAAAAAGAGACTAATCATACAATACTGAGTCTGTGTAGCCAATTATAGCCATATGTGTGCTTAGATTTGCAGGTTTATCCACTTAAGAATTGCAGAGTCTGATGGCAGGAAGTTAGTAAATTAAATATTGCTTAAAAATATCTAACATTCATCAGATTACTTATTTCTCTGCATATTTTAGTCACTCATACATGGTGACTAAATGGTTTTTTTTAATGGCTTTCCTTCTTTGGAATAGAATTAAGGGAGTGTCTGAGAGCATTACTTTTTAAAACTGTTTTATATTTTTTCAATGATTCAAGACAATTTACACATATGTAAAAAGAATAAAATTGAAGAGCCAAACAATATTTAATAATATACCAAGAACACTAAGAAAAAATAGTAAATAATATTGATCAAAAGTACAAATAGCTGAAATAACCTGAGAATTTAGACTTACAGAGTCATCTGTAGGTCCGTTATTAAATTCAATGGGTCTCACTTCTAACCAAATAGCATAATATTGTGTGGGAAGTCAGTCCTCCCCCCCCCCAGAGAAGGAAATATTTGGGGGAATATTAAAAAGGAAGACTATTATATTTCCCCAAAGGATCTGAAAGGCAGAAAAGCAGGCCCAGTTTTTCTTAATAGCCCCAAGCAGAAACTAAGCAAGCCAGCTCTGTAGAAATGCAGATTTGATAATCCCATTCAGAAAGACTGAGGCCCCATTCATGAGCAAATGCTGCCTGCAGAAGCCCATTCAAGACAGGATCTTTTGAAATCCATTGGAGCAAGATTTGATAGCTAAGTGAGTGGATTAGCAGATAGCAGAGTGATAGGATTAGAACCAGCAAATCCTTACCCAAAAATCCAACACAGGACGTAGTTATCAGCCTCAGCCACAGCCACGGAAAAGCAGCAAATGATCTTTAGGACTTAATAGGATTAATTCACCACCATTAGAATACCAAAAGGGCACACTGAAACTTAGGTCAAAGTTCAATGCATAGGAACAACTCCAAACACAAAGCCCAAGAAGGTATAAAAACCCACCACTCCCAGCTTCATTTAGTCAGCCACCCCAGAAGAATGCTGCTGTCACTGAAGTTTCTGGCAACTAAATAAAACAAGAACCTTCTTTCTAAAGCAGCCTCCATTTTGTTTATTCCCGGCTTGAACTGGACCTGAAGATTTTTTTTTTTAATAATTGTATTGCATATAAAAATGGGATAATCATATAAGAAAATTTATTCACACTGCCCTACTTGAAAATCACTTATTTCCAAAGATACCAATATAAGAGAAAAACATTTTGCTGATGATGAAAGTAACCATATATAAATAAATAAGTAAGCAAATTATTTGGACTCTGAGTCTTTAAAATATTTTAAGTTTTACCCTGCATTTTGTTGACTGGAACCTGGAAATAAATAAAAAACAAATGAAGATCTTTCAATTCCAATAACATTTAATTATGTGAATCCCTGCATGGTTTGACAATTGCATATTTTGTACATAAAATTAGTCTTGCTTAACTATTAAAATTATTAACTAAATCTAAAAGGCTTGTCATTTTTTAAAAATGTACAATTTAATTTGATATGTCATATACAAAGTTTTGAGCTTGTTAGAAGTTCAAATTACGTAAAAACAAAGGTTATCATCCAAGTAAGAAATCAGCTTTTGCAACCGCAGTCTTCCAACAGTTAATAATGAATTCCAACTTTTATTTATCTATATTCCATATTATCACTAAGCATAACTGATTATTTCAATTCATATTTGCCTGCTGGACAATGCAAAAGCTTGAGGAGATAGTTATAAATTTTAGTCAGCCAAAATGATCAGTTATGAAACAAACTACTATTTAATGATGTCCAGAGGATAGGACTAACTGGAGCATACATTATTGATCAAACAGAAGCCTTTTCTGACTGTCTTTTAGTTCATAATGGCATAAACATTTCTTTGTTACTTGCAAAAAAGCTCTCAGAGCAGATTTTCAGAATTCTCCTTTTGCCTATAAATGCAACAGATAAGAGGACAGAGATCCCAAGAAGTCCATCATTTCTATGAGAAATTAACAAACCATTTAACTGGCACTGTATGCAAAAGATGCTATTAAGAAAAGAAAACACCCACAAAGCAAGTAGAGTTCATATCACAAAGCAAGTAGTGACTGACTGGACAGCTTTGTAAAAATATCATGCCATAAGGATTCATGGTTTTCAATTTGTTATGACATATATATGCTATCTACTACTCTTCCTTTGGAAGCAAAATTAGAGAAAATTCTGATTTGGAAAAAAAAAGTATGATGAGGTTACGCTTTTCTAAAGAGAAATACAATATAAGTAAAGAATAGAATCAAAATGAGATTATAGAATATGGGTCAAAAATGCTAGAGTTCATATCACAAAGCAAGTAGTGACTGACTGGACAGCTTTGTAAAAATATCATGCCATAAGGATTCATGGTTTTCAATTTGTTATGACATATATATGCTATCTACTACTCTTCCTTTGGAAGCAAAATTAGAGAAAATTCTGATTTGGAAAAAAAAAGTATGATGAGGTTACGCTTTTCTAAAGAGAAATACAATATAAGTAAAGAATAGAATCAAAATGAGATTATAGAATATGGGTCAAAATGCTATCTTGCTGATTGAAGATAAAATCCTACTCTTTTCACTAGAACTATTTCTATTTAACAAAACAATGCCTAACAAATCTAAGGGGATTTTTCAAGTGTGAATCATTAAAAGCAAAATACTTCTTTTGAGTAACCTCTGTTCATTTTGATTAAACTCAAGTTGCCCAACTCAGACATTAATCAACTACTCTTGGTAAGATCCAGCCTCCAGCCGCCTAAAAGTCTGAGAAAGGTTCAGTGAGCAGATGCAATTTATAGTCAAAATAAAATGATAGAACAGAGTAATAATAATCTGTCTTTTCTCCCTTAAAATACATTTTGCCAGTATTCATTAAATCAGAGGTCTCCATCCCCCAGTCTCTGGACTGGTACCGGGCTGCAGCATGCCAGCAACCGATCCGCACAAACAAGCAAAGCCCTATCCATGGGATGCAGGCAGCACACAAACCCACACATTCTCCAATCTGCAGAAAATATTTATCCATGGAACCGGTCCCTGATACGCAAAAGGTTGAGGACCTCTGCATTAAATAGCATTTTAACATCAATCTAAATTATATTTTAAATATCAATCTAAATTCTATATCAACACACATCCTTCTTCCATTGGCTCTCTAATTCTAAATATAAAAACATCTTATATTTTATATTGATGCAACTATCTCTTTTTACTCCTAAGTAAGCAGATAATATTTGACTTGCACTGCAATTTTAATTTCAGAATCTCACAAAATTCGTATCTACAATTTTTATTGACAAAGTATAAATTGGCATTCTAGATTAAAAATCATTTGACATCACCATATTAAGGACTGAGTTGCCATAAGTTTATTAAGTTTATTGTTTTCCTGTTTACTAAAAAGTTCTGCTTATGGAAGTTAACAACAAACTACAATAAAGGCAAAAGCAACATAAATTTAAAATGATATCAGAATTCCAAAATTAGTTTTTGGGCACAAGTCTAATCCCTTGTTCCTACTGAGTTCTATAAAATCAATACAATATAATACCACTTCACATGTACTATCTGTGCTCAAGTTTCTAGCCAATGTATCATAAATAAAACAGAAACAGAACCAACATGACTCTCTTGCCAATAGTGAACAGTGTTAAGACATAGCACAAAACAAAAGTAATTTTAAAAAACTGGAAATATCTAAAAGCTATTTGAAATTTATAGATTTCTAAAAGATTATTATTTATCAGGCTGAAGTTTTTCTTAAAAGCATGGAACAGCTACACTGTAAATAAGTATACTGTATAACTGTATAAATCAATTGTGAAAAATGCTAGATTCACATAATATTTGAACTATTTCTTTGCAATAACTAAGCCAACATCTATCCCAGGTTATTTCAATCTGGAATGATGCATGCTATTTTAGTTGCATATAGCAGGTCTTATTATATCAGCATAAATTCAATAAACCCGATTTCTTTAAGCTTCCATCAACTGCTCAAAATTTTGACAGTTCTTTTAGTAGAAAAATCTTCACAGTATAAATCAGTTTCCTTGTCCTGTTCTTAGTTACAGAGATTCATAGAGTGTAATATAATTTCAGAGGAATTACGCAACCATCCTTCTTTTCTTATCACACTACATATGCTAGCCAGCTAAGCAACGCATGAATGTATGTGCCATGTCCAAATATATTTTTAGGAACATTCATTTTCAACAGAGTTTGATCACTACGAAATTTAAGCTAACAGGTTTATTTTAACACTAGACAACCCAGGACCCATTGTGACATCCTTTCAGAGATATTTCCTTATGTAAACATAGAAAAAGAATGACCACAGATGGGCAAAAAAACCAATGGAAGCGACAGCAACTTCCAACTTCCTGTTAGATTACCCATTTGATGTTGGTTATGGAAGACTGGCATCAGAAATCACTCTGCAGAACTTCCTGCCAATTTGCTACAGGGAGGAATAACAAAGGAAACTGCACCCCATTGCCCATTCCAGAGTGTCCCCAAGGTCTCCTCCTTCCATGATTGTTGAGGCTCCCTTCAATCATCAGTGAATGGCCCCCCAATCTGCCTTATCTTATC